TATTATACTTTAGTGGATACTTGGTTCTGAAGTCAAAGACCTAGAAGTTTGCCAAAGGGCGTGGCAGCTCCTACCGTCCTCTCACTTCATAGAAAGCCCACCTGTCACTACCAGAGTATATAATGATATTTAATTAGTAGCATTTTTTCTTAGATATTTTTCTTAGGTATTTCCTGGACAGTGGCAGCTGTCCAAGGTCCTGAAAACTCTTGTGAATGGAATTGTTTTGAAGCTTTATTTGTCTGGGTACCAGTCACTCCACACAATGCTGCACTCCCTGACAGATATGCAAATGATTAATTAGCTTTTGTTACTCTGGGCCAACATGGTGAAAATCAACTTGAAACACATTGGTTTAAGCATGAAAGGTGTCTTCCTTATACTAACGAAGATATTTGAAATAACCACTACTGACCTGCTTACTGCGGTGTTTCTCTCTTAGTATTGATGATATCTGCACACAGGAGAAAGAATCAGGATGTCACAGGACTCATCAAGACTTATTGAGTGAGGCATAGATTCTCAGACCTGTGCAGAAGTCTTTTAATCCATATGTACCTTATGTGTCTGCTAATTTTTGAAACCCCTGTGATGAAAACTTTGCATGTTGTCGATGAGATTTTCTGTCTTGTGAGAAGCAGGTTACTTGAGAGGGTGCCTTCTTCTTCCCCATGGGAAGAAGGAATGAGAGAACTTAATTTGGAAGAAAAAGTGGTAAAACTCCTTTAGGCTGTGTGTGGGAAAGTGCAACCTGGTAGGCCAGCTGGGCTTGAGAAATATTAGGCAGCTCCTGCCAAACTGAAAATGATTCAATTGAAAAACAAAACTTCTGATTCACATTGGAGCTATATGGAATACTACCATGTTTGGCAGGACAGGAGACTTTGTAGGTGGCAGATCCTTCCTGGGTCTTGTCCAAAGAAGAACATTGCTAAGAAATTCAGATGCCTTCATTGTAATAGATTCCTTTTCTCTACTGTTTATATGAGATCTGAAAGACTGTGATCGAGGTGAAAAAATAAGCTTAATACAATTTGTTAGAGAATTACATAAAAAATAGTCAAGAAAAGTAAAGTCATATAATACCACAGATGTGGGGATTTAAATGTAGTTTCTATACACAGAATAAATTCAAAATTCATGGTTGAGTTATTAAAGTAACAATTCTCAGGAATTTTGAATAGCTTCAGATTTAATGAAATCTGAGCAGTGGGGTGAGAGTTTTTTCAACTTAAATCAAAGAGAGCATGTGTTTGAGGTTTGGGATCTGTGAGGATGCAGGGGGAGCATGGGAGAAAGTGAAGGGATCATTAGAAATGAATGGAGAAAGCAAAGACATGAAAAACACAGTACATTGGAAGCAAACCAAAGGAAAGCATTTTCCAGAAGAGCAGCATGCCACCGCTGCGCTGCAAGGGTGTCCTTGTGTTACAGGGAAACCAGTATGCGGGAAAGGAGAGTGGTGAAGGACAGCCACTAGCTGGACTATTATAGAACGGGACTGAATTACAGGAGAGGGATATGGCTCTATGCTTTTCCACTTAAAAGCTGCCAAAAGCCAAGTCTTAGAAACATTAAACAATTCTGCTAGACCACACACCCTCAGAGATCCTGGCATATGTTATAGATAAATACAAAATGAGGGTGGATATATCTAGATGAAGAATCTAACAATTATAGTTATCTACTATTCACCCACAGTAATGAGGTAGAGAAATTTTAGCATGTACAAGAACCTACCCTATGAGATGCTGTAGGTGAAGAATCTTTCTACAAAGCCTTTTGCATTTTGGGATCTGGCAGAATTTTAGATGGAGCTCCATGTGGTTGTTACCAAAAGATTTACATGACCTTATAGGGAAAATTAAAGCTGTTAATAACTGAGAAAGAAGAAAGTCATTTAAATTACTCTGGGATTCTGCTTAAATTGAACTCATCTATTTAAGCTAGTATTGTACAGCCTGAACTTTTCCTCACTGTTACATTAAAAAATAATCTCTTCTGAGAATCTCACTTCATTAAAAAAAAAACATTGTTTCCTGTTGGCAAGATCAATGCAGTGTATGGAGAGGAGCATGAATCACTTAAATTTCTTTCTTGTTTTGAAAGAAAAGGCAGTGGCTTAATTGTGGTCCTCATCTGACATACTCTGTTCCATGAGTGTTTGGGAGATGAATGCTCTTTCCTGCTACTCATTTGCTATTTCCAGATACTCTGAACAATCCTGGTGACTCATAGCCACCATTTTCACAGGGGGTTCTGCATGCTGTTTGCATGAGAGGCTGAGAGTAAAGCATCTTTTATGGTTAGTAAGGCTTCCTTCATCTCTGTGGCCCTGGAGAACCACAAACAGTAGAGAGAGCATCTGAGATCCAGAGACGTCTGTGAAGTTCTGGCCTAATGACTGTGTGTGTCATTCTTCTCTATGAGTCCTGGAGAAGCCGCTGATGCAGCCCAGATTTTCCACTCACCTGGTTTGAGAAGCATGACATTGAGGAACTGAAATTCTCCTAACTGTACCTTTTAGAACTTTCAGCTTCACATTGCTTTGGATTCAAATCAGTTCAAGAAAATCAAATGTCTCAGTTCAGACTTGATTCCCTCTAACCTCCTAACCTCTGATGTGAAACCTGGCTTCTCTCAACCCTGTGCCGTCTCTTTCCATTGTTCAAGCTTCCGTTATCTTTTAACTATTTGCTTTGTCCTTAACATTTCCAGTTTGTTTTCTTTTCTGAATGTTTCTGCAAATTCCAGTAATGTTTCTCCACTCAGGAGCTCCATTGGATCTTTTGTTGCTGTATTTCTGCCTTCACTGCAGGTCAGCATTCTCAGTGCTCACTGACTCATTTAATTGGGCAGTTTGGTCTACATTCCAGCGAGGTCACGCCATCTCCCCGGCTCTCTGCCGAAAGGGTTCTCACTTTTGGAAATGTAAAAATGAGCTGTACCGTGAGTTTCTGCCACCCTGGGACCCAGGTCAAACAAACAGCCCCATCTGGAACACTGTGGGACACAAGGTGAAAGAAAGACGTGTCAAGGCTGTATGATGACTTCCAGCCTAGCAGTGCATGGCGCTTCTACTCACATTCCGTGGCCCAAGAGAAGTGCCATCGCCAATTCTGATGTTATTAAAGCTGAAATTACTACTGTTATTAAAAGAATTATGATATATCAGAAATAATAAAATCTCTCAAGTCTATATTTTGAATCTTTCAGTACTTTCTCCTCTTTTGAGAGGAATATAGACTAAATTTTCTGAAGCCATGAGTTATATCAAACCTGTATATATCATCTTTTCTCATTTATACACATTTGTAGTCTATATGCCTATAGATGAGGCTCAGAAGAAGATGAACAATGACTTATTATATCTCCTAAGATCATGTAACTTCTGCAAGCTGTTTTTCTTCTTTCTTGTCTTTAGAACCTTCATTTTCTTCGGCATATCTAATTCACCACAGTGAGTGCTCCCACACTTTGGAATTATATAAGATAAAGTTTATTGGAACGCAAGGGTGGTGATAAAATGGTGTGAAGCGTACACAGCATGGGTACCTTCATTTATATTTTTGTGAGGGAGAGATCTGGCCACAAATTAAAATGTGGGATTGTTTACGGAATTTTCCATTATGTGCTTTTGGACCAGGGTTGGCTATGGGTTATGGATTCTTTAAAAGTGAAGTTGTAATGGTCTCCTGTATGCAGATTTAGATTTTAGGGAGGAAAGTCCCTTTCTCAAGGTTTTGTCTTGGCATTCCTTCTGCTTCTCTGTCCTGTGGCTTCTTTGGGAGCTCATTACTCTCCACCTCATCTCCCATGTTTATCCTTATAGCTTCTCTGTGGAATGCTACTGCACTGTCTTGTTTTAGAATTTCACCCATTTTCCTCCCAGGTTTCTGCAGTTTGCCTTCACATTCTGGTTCTATTAGACTCATCCAGTCAAGGAACCCCGAGGATGTTTATTTGAACCATGTCAATACACTGAAACGGAGGTCCCTTATGTAGAACCTGACTAATTCCTTCTTCCATTCTGAATGGAACCACTCTGATTAAAATTCATTCACTCCAAGAAATGAGTAACTTTTTTTCTCTGATATTGACAGTATGCAGAGTTGCAAAAACTAGCCCGAAATTAACTCAAATACACACTTTCCCTGCACCTTACATAGATCAGCAAGAAACAATGCCACTCTTTACGTATTCCGTTGTTAGGCAGTAGGGTGCACCTTGAATCAAACATGGTCTTCAGGGAAATCTTTTTTTTTTCAGAGTGTGTTTGAATTAATTGCTGTCTATATTTAAAGATGATGGACATTTCATATCTCCAAGTACTTTGAATGCGTATTTAGTGCTAAATGCCATTTATGTGTGATATACATATTTTGCTTAGATATTTTAGGTTTGTATTAGATGATAATTTATAATCATATGCCTAATCATTTGATTGATTTGTTGAGAGAATATGACTGCCATAATTATTCCCATAAAACTTAAAGTGGAAAGGTTCTTTTTGCAAGTTTGTGACATGATCCTGACAAAAATGTGTATAGTGTGTACGTTCTCAGAAATTTTTGGTTGCTCAGTCACATGCCTCAGCATTCACCTTTTCACAGGATACTGGACTGACTTAACAACAGCCAGCTACCATTCTGAACAGAGGTGATAAAAATGGTTTTGCTATTTCCAGGTGTGAAAATTAAAAAAAGCAGATGTATATAGGAGTCTTTCTACTGGTGGTTCTTAAGAATGAAGGGTCTGTCTGCTATACCCCACTTTCTACTTAGCAAAATCTTCTTTGTCTTTTTTTTTTCTCTGAATAACACCTGTATAAATACTGAGACTAATGGGCATATTATCTTGTTCAGTCTGTGCTTACAAACATACATTTTTTTTTCAGTAACAAGGTTCTAGCAATGATAACCAAATCTTAACACTTCTTCATATTTGCATGAAAAATAGAGACAAGACGTTTAGCATCTCTGCACTTGTGTGTTTTTCAGGCAGAGGGTACCAGACTTCAGCGAGAACTCCGAGGATATTTAGCAGCAATCAAAGGTAATGTGTATGTGTGTTGTTTACCGCCTGTTTCCAAGCACAAGTTGTTCTTGGAATTTGTAAGAGACAGGAGTGAGTTTTAATGAGTTGAAAGCTCCACTTGGCTTCCTGGCAAGTAGCATATTAGAACACAGGTGTTTCATTCCACCCCCCTTCCAGTTTCCATTGAAATGATAATCAGAATAGTCAAGGACAAATCTACTTCTGCCCTTCTGCCACAAACTAAAAATAAATGCCACCCACATGCCAGGGGTTTCTAGGAAGGCTTGTTAGACAGAGTGAACAGAAGACTTTACTAAAGCAAATCTGCAGCTGGCATCCCTTCTGAGGGAGCTAGGTCCCAAGATACAATACTCACAGACTTAAGTAAGAGCTCTCTCACTATGAGGAGCAAAACGTTGCAGGAGAAGCAGGTGGTGGCTGGGTACCCGGGAACACAAGTCTGTGACTTGCAAAAAGAAAAAGGAAAACAAAGCCCAACTGTTTATAAAGTTGTGCCAGTGTGCAGTTTAGGGAACAGAGTGGTTTCTGACCTTTGCTGTGCAATCCAGGAGGCTAGTAGAAGGGGTAAGAGGAGTGAATGGGGGCTGCCAGGCTATTCTCCACTCATCACCAGGTGTCCCTCTCTGGGTCCAAGCCAAGAGCACCAACAGACTTGATGCTCCATAGAGCAGACCTCACGATGAGTGGAGAGACGATGAAGCATCTTACATAGAGTTATGGGAAAGCTCTCCAAACACTGAGAAAACATGGAATGCCCAATTCACACTTCATTACTTCCCAATTCAGATAAAGATTTAACATGCACATACAAAATGTTTCAATATGAGACTAAAACACAAAGTATTTAGTCCCCATTTTTGGGTGAATGGGATCTTTTCAAGATACCCCAAAAGACATAAACTAAGAACCAGAGATTTTTCCATGTAAACCTGTGTTTAAAATTACCAGAAATGATGACATTTTATTTAACGCAGTTGAACTAAGATATAAAGAACTAAGTAAGTAAACTAAGTGGCGAATGGTTTATTTTTAGAAATGAACAAAATGTTTGGAGAGAAATTTAGCTAGAGAAGAATTAAACGGGGGAGGTGAGGCAGGAAGATCAAAAGAGCATAAGAAATATCAAACCTACCCTAATGAACACTGAGCAACTTAGTGAAACTGTCTCAAAATAAACTTGTAAAAGGGGTTAAGGACAGATGACATAGTTTGGTGGTGGAATACTTACTTGCTTAGTTAAGGTGAAACCTTAGGTTCAGGCTCCAGCACTGCAAAACTAAAACAAACAAAAAAAAATCAAAAACCAAAACAAAAGAAAAAAGAACTTCTGATGGACATGACATGAAAAATCTTCATCTTCAGGACTCATCAAAGAATGATTAAGAAAATGACACAGGAGATGCCATCCCTGCAATTCTGGTTATTCAAGGACACAAGAAAATTTTTTTTCTGTTAAGATTGCTTTCTTGGAAAGCAATTTGGCAGAGGCTTTTAAATGAGTGTTCCTTCAGTTTTTACACGTACCTTTTGACACAGTCCTTCACTTCTAAGAAGGTATTCTTGTAGTTCATAGTGAGTGTGTAAAACTGATTATAAAGATTTTGATAAATGATAAAGTACTGAGAATGTTATTAATAAAAAACTAGCCATAATGATAATGATCAATAAAATTTATTTTTAAGTAGAAAGATATATAAGCTTTTTACTTGCCAGGAATGCACTTTCAATCTTCATGACATCACTGTGTGGCAGATACCTCTATTGTCTGTATCTTAAAAATACTTTCTTCATCTTTTAATTATGTGTTTGCCTACATATCTATATGGGGGTATATGCATGAGTGTGGGTGCTTGAGGTGAGGGCCATTATTTACATTCAATTGTCAGGGAGATGGGGAACACATAGGCTTATATGTCAAATTGTATCTGTGTGGATTTCACGCATTCTTCTGCAATACAGACTATCAACTCAGACCTCTTTAATTTTGTCCTTTTGTACTCCTTGGCGAACCCCAGACTGATTACTATCTGTCCGGATATCCTGTGGCTTTTATCAATTTACACATGGTTCCAATCCTTGCTTCACAGCATTAAGTTTTCTCTGCTTCCCTTTTTAACTCCTGACTGATAATAGCTTAGACACCAACTTGGCCATGCAGGGTCTTCCAGCAACTGCTTGCCTAATGTTCTGGTGTCATTCATGGGTCGCCTTCATGTGAACCCAGCCTTTGCACTTTATCCTCTGTGCTTTGCTGGTTCCGGGAATGTCAGGAGGACATAAAGGGGTGGTGACTGCAAAGCCCTGGAGCTGCTTTATACCCCTGCTGTCATACTCACTTCCTATTGTTACTATTATTAATAAGTGAGTGTTTGCAGCCTCCTGATGTGTAAAGAAAGCTTAGACCTCATTAAGTCAAAGCTTTCTGAAAGGTTTTATTATTGATATTGAGAAAATACATTTTTACTTGTCTTTTGAAAACCTAAGCTCCACTTGAATCATAGCCACTTTCAATAGTTTTACTGTTTACATCAAGTAACCACTTTCAACTTATACATACTGAAGTCCTATTTATACTGTTTCTACTTGCTTTGAATGTACTTTTTTTTATACAGTGATTCAGGATTAATTTTGCTCTTAGAATTTTGCAGCATTGTTTATTATCTCGGTGTTCTAGATATTTGTTGTTAGATTCCCTTTATTAAGTGACTAGAGCACATTGTTGTTGTAGTTCTTAGACTATGATAGTGTTGACTTCCAAGATCCAGGGTTTTGCTACCACCGTGTAAGTAACTGAAAATGTGTACTGTAAGAAAGGACAAAGCCTCGGAGCCTCTCAAGGAAGGATGTAGGTGTGCTCTCACAGTTGGTTCTGTCAGTTATCAAAGCAAGGGAGAAGAGAGCCATTCCATGTAACAAGAACTGTTTTTCTCTGATGCTAGGCATGCAGGAGGCCTCAATGAAGCTCACCGAGTCACTTCATGAAGTCTACGAGCCCGATTGGTACGGAAGGGAAGATGTGAAGATGGTTGGTGAGGTGAGAGCCAGGTTGTGACTCATAGAATGGCTTCCAGAAGACTTCCACTGATCAGCCTACTTACCCCCTTCCCAATTCAGGGCAAAGTAAGACTAGATACTCAGAAGGCAGCCTGAGGTCTACTGCCTAAGTCATCCTGCACTTGCAGTGTGAGGGGAACTCGATTCCAAAAGCAGTTCCAGAACATTTGAGAAGGGTTGGGTTCAAGGTTGCTTTTCTTCAAAATAACAATAGCTCTTTTCTGCTAGATGACATAGGTGGTGACAGATATTTTTGGCATAGCCTTTTTTGGTGTTGTTTTTATGCAGGAGTTCTCCCTTTTATTCTCACTTCCCTTTTAGTCAACCCTGTAGCACAGTTAGCCCATTCACTAAAATCAACTGAACTCCATGGCATCTTGGGACTTAGAAATACCCTCACACCTGAGCTGAAGACTGGAGCTGGGGGTCAGCTGACCTGCAGGAAGTAAGACAATGGCTGTCACTGCTTTGTGGAAAGCAGCATGGAACAGACAGCAAGAATGACTGTGTGACCTCAGGCAGTTCCTTTATTTTCTGGGGACTCATTCCCATGTACAAGATGGGAATAACTATTGTACTGACTGGAAACACGTTTGAAGCCTTTGTGTTCAGGTCCCCTAGTCAGTTTTCAGAGCATGTTGTGGTCAACGAGGGGAGCTTCTAGGAGAGCAACTGTTTGTCATGTCATTCCTTCAGGTGAGTCAATGCAGTGCATCTAGGAAGAGAAGGTCTGAGTTAGATGACACAGCTGAAGCCCAGGGCAAGGCTAATTCGATAAGCTGCACTTGTCTACAGCCTTGGAAAGTCTCTGACTGCTGCCTGACAGTGCCGACACCCTGATGCTGATCTTTGTGATCCCATTAGAACTGAAACAAGAATGAATTTATGTATGAGAAAAGCTCTTGTTGGATATAATCCATTTCTAAAATCTTTTAGGATGTGGATTTGGCTAAAATGTTCCACACACCATTTTCTAATGCACTAATTGAGTGTTTTTATCATCTTACTTTTTTCAGTATAAAAACACCATATTTCAGTTGCATGTTGTTAAATGCTTATCTCATTTTGTACATTCCTGACTAATAATGCATTCTCAAAACCCATGACAAATAATGAAAATTTAAAGAATAATGGAAAGGTGTATTATTATCCTTAGAACATGTCATGATTCCATTTTTTCCACGGCAATATCACTATTGACACTGTTTCTTTAATGAAATGGCTGTTGTACTACAGTGGTCCCTGTGGATTCCCAAACATTTGGACCCTGAGTTTCAGGTGCAAACATCATCCTTCAGATAACAGAACTACAGATCATTACATGTTCAGAGTCTACTCACCATGAGTGATGAACCATTTTCATTAAGTAGGTTTAAGTTACTTTATTTGCATAATATTCTTAAATTGGGCATTATAATAACTAGGACTAGTTTTTGAAGTACTAAAAAGGAAAAAATACAAATCAAACTTGGATTTGTTTTGGAAATGATCTTATGTTGCCTAAACTGGACTCAAACTTGTGTAGCTAAGGCTGGCCTTGATCTTCTCACCTTTATTTTCCTCGTTTGGAGATTTTAAGTGTGGGGCATTATATCCAGTTTTAAACTTGTTTTTTGTTTGTTTGTTTGTTTTTGTTTTTTAAACAAGATTAAGAATTACCACTCACTGAGAGCAAGAGAAAGATGCTCTCCTCCTCTCCACTTGCCCCTGAGACTGTGGTGGGTGAGGGAGCTGACCCTTCCCCTTACCAGCTGCAGCACTCAGGAAAGTGGGTACTGCACCTTGCCTGGGCAGCACAGCAGAGCTGACCCTGTTGACAGGGATATAGATGAACTGCCCTGAAAACATGAGCATGGGAGATCTGGCCCTGGCCCTCATCTGCCATGATGTCATAAAAGTTGGAGAGCTTTTCCTGCCCCTCACACGCTCTAGCACTTGGCCCCTGCACCTCACCTGGGCAGTACAGTTGAGCTGGTCCTGATGGTCCAGGTGTGTGAGAGCTTACCCTGAAGGTGAGAAAGCAGGAGAACTGTCCTTGTCCCTTGCTCGTGGCTATAAGGGGTGAACTAGCCATAGCAATGCTAGAGAGGGCACCCTGGTGGTGAGGACAGGGGAGAGCTGATGGGCTGACCAACCCTGCAACTGCCTAGTCCCAGAACCAGGGTTATGAGTTGGCCCACCCCAACATCCATCCCATTTATGTTCTACAGAAGCATATGAAGAGGCCGATTTGGTCCTGTAGAAGCTTCAGGATCTCCATGACACAGGGCAACAATAGGATACCTAAGAAGAGGAGTCCCAGCGAGGGTCTGGCATTGTTAGTGTAGCAGACACTGGAAGCCTTGAACCAGTGACTCTTTGCAATGAATGCTTTCAAGTAAAGATATATGGATTAAAGGGTTTACTGCATGACTCACTGATGAGATTTCTTTTTTAAATTTTATTTTATTTGGGGAGGTTGCAAGGGCAGAGTGCAGATGTGAAGGGACAAAGAAATGAATGGGATTGAGGTGGATGATGTGAAAGACACAAAGAATAAATAAAGTTTTTTTTTTAAAAGAACAATGAGGGCTGATGAGAAGCCAAGGACAATGGCACGGGGTTTTGATCCTACTTAATGTGCTGGCTTTGTGGGAGCCTAGCCAGTTTGGATGTTCACCTTCCTAGATATGGACGAAGTGGGGAGGACCTTGGACTTACCACAGGGCAGGGAACCCTGACTGCTCTTTGGACTGGAGAGGGAGGAGGAGAGGAGTAGGGGGAGGGGGAGAAGGGTGGGAGGAGGGGGAGGGAAATGGGAGGCTGGGAGGAGGCGGAAACTTGTTTTTTTCATTTTCTCAATAAAAAAAAAGAAAGAAAGAAAGATTTACTACTCACATAAATTTGGAAGTGACAGCCCAGACATGGCATGGTAGACGGACAATACCAGATACCTTTTCCCCCCAATCCTCTGGATACCTCATAACTGGTAATATGACAGACTTTCATTCTACAAATGAGGTTTCAGCCACATTTTGTTTCTGTTTCTGTCTGGCTTGGCTCAGTTCCTTCAATTGCGGCAGAGAAATTAACTGTCTCGCGGGAGTTCTTTTCAATCTTTTAGCTCCAGTGTCTGTCTGTCTACTGGGACTTGGGAACCTGTTAAGACATCCACATTCCTTAGTAATTCAGAATCAGAGATGAACTTTAAGCAAGCCACCCTCTTAGCTTGGTTGTCAGCTACAACAGACTGCCTTACTGTTTGCTTTCTAATTAGTCATTATTCTATCTTCTCATATCTTGGGGAGTATTGCTTGCCAAGTTGTATTGTTTTGTATATGTTAGAAATTTAGTGAGATGTGTCTGAGATTATGGAGTCATTGTCTCTTATTTTCCCCCTAGAAATGTGATGTTCTATGGGAAGACTTCCATCAAAAACTAGTGGACGGGTCCTTGCTGACACTGGACACCTACTTGGGCCAATTTCCTGACATAAAGGTATTTCACTCTCTGTGTGTGAGGGAAATAATTGAATGGTCCCATGTGGTTACTGAAACCAGGGCAACAGAAAAGAATTGAAAGTTCTCAAGCTTAAATGAAAGACATTTGTAACTTTTCATTTGTTAAGCATGGGTTTCATTCTATTCCTATTGTCGTGAAATAAAATCCAGCTACAGAAATCAAAGCGTCTCTCTTAGTGAACACTTCAATGTTTCTTTCTTTGCCAGAGTCTTTTCAAGCCTATAGATACAAAATCAGAAATCAAATCTTCATTGTATTCAAACCTCGTGGGGATGATTTTCATTAGAATAAATGGTCACAGAGAATGGAGGAAGCTAACTGTAAACGAGAGGAGAAGTCTGATATGTTTGCTATTTTCTCTTATTTTTACATGTGGTCACAGCATATCTGGGCATCTTTTCTGTCCTTGAAATTTTCAGATTAAAATCGAAATATAAGCCCTTAAGGTGTATTTGTATTAGGATATAACTGCATTGTGTTTAAAACAGTTGGTTTAGTTCTTAATTCCTCTGTTAGGGTAAACAAAGAAGTGAATGGTTGAATGTTGTAGATTTGGAACTGACTTTGAGGGTAATGACGGGTTGAAACAAACATCTGTATGCAACAGATAGGTAGCATTAGACCGTGTGCTCCTGTGTTCAAGATGGACTCAGGGTACGTTGACCCTCTAGCAGGGTAAGGAGGCTATGAATCAGCACCTGTGGGCATCTGAAGCATTTCTTTGTAAAATCCACTGTGACCTGGATTTCTCGGAAGTTGTGACAAATACCAGGAAATTTCCTGCAGGAAATGCTCTGGCAGTGGCTGCACAGTGACATGAAGCATCTTCACTAAAACAGCACACAGGGCGAGGACTAGCTTTTCTGCTCCCACAGGGTATGAATAAGGAGCACTGGCCAATACGGAAGGAACAGCTGTGGCTTCCTGGAGTACTGGGCAGCATATTCCTCTTGGTGGCTACATGTCAAGGAAATAAACCTGAATGATGGATTCCCAATGTTAACACATCCAGCAGCTATTTCTTCCCCGAGCTTTCATTTGTTTTGAGTGTCTGTGCTGGAGTCTGCGCACTAGACAAAATAGTCACCTGTCAGCAGATACTGGAATCTAGAAGGCAGCGACTAGAGTTTACTAGGTTCTTAGGTTTTAGAACAAGGAATTTGATGAGGGACACATGGATAGTGATAGAAACAGAATGCTTATTGGTAAACAGGTTCTCCAGGTTCAAAAGTGGCCAGAGATCTGGGAAAGATTAGAAGCTCAGTGGTGTTGCTCGCGGGCATGCTAAGAATGGTACTGTGCACACTAGTGTGGTTCCGGAAGGTTTCTTATCTCCACTCCATCTTTGGTTTCCGATGTGCTCATCTGGTTGTCTCCTCTTGGCCAGACCCACAGAGGCATCCTGATCAGATATTGAGAAACCTGTCTGTCTTTCTGTAGTACAGCCCACTTCCTGTTCTTTTTAAAATAAACATTACAAAACCCAATGCAAATAAATAAAAATACTAGATACCAAAACTAGCCAGAGTCAGAGTCTATACAACTTAATAAACTTACGTGCATTTAAAGCTGGCATTTGAAATGGAAGCTGTGAAGCTTCACTTTAGATTTCACAATTTCAATATTGAATATATTTTATGGACTTATACACCACCAAATCCATCTGCTCTTCAAAATCTCCAATTATCCAGAGAGAGTTGGGCCCATCAGTGCTGAGATCAAAGCCAGTTCCATAGGTCGTCTCTCTAAAAGTGGGACCATTACACACTTGTCAAGCTTTTTCTTTCTGAAGGAGTCTGAACCTTTAAAAAGCTTTGTTTGCTCAACTCAGAAAAACAGCGATGATGACTAATTCTGTAGTAGATTCAAGTGTCATCCAAGATTGAACTGACTCGGTCCAGTCTAGCAATACCATGCCAAGGCTCATGTTGTCGCATAAAGGGTCTGAGAGTCTCTACTCAGGTAAGAGATGGGAGTCAAGCATAGCAGCCACATATCCTGGGCTGTGTCAAGCAATGGAACTCTTGCAAGTGGCCACACACTGTTGAGTGTCTTTCAATCAAAGCTTTTCTTTGCACTTGCTGCGCAGCTAGTAGCCTTTCAACTCATTTCTGTTTTCCACGTGAGAATTGATTTGTTGTTTGAATCAGTGTCTCCAGGGGAGAAACAGAAACCAGGTTTTATTCCTCTATATTCTGATATTACCTCTATGGCCTGATAAAATCAGGATCTGAAAGTTAGAAGAGGACAAAGAAAACAGTATTCACCTTCCTGAAAACTTAAATCAGCTTGCAGCTTGTCTGATTCTGTTGTGTTTTCATAGTGTGACTTAATTAAGTAAGTTAGGGTTTACCAGATAAGTACACAACCTAAAGGCGCCTGAATTTCAGAAGGAAAACATTACTGCCTCAGTATTACCCAGAGGCAGTTATTTTATTGCCTGTGTTTCCTAAAAGTATATAATCACAAAGCAAACATGCACAGAATCACAGGGTTGAAACAGAATCATAATCAATCATACTGGTTGCTCATTTTAGTTTATTTGAAATCCACACGATATAACACTCACTGAAACTTTTACCTAAGCAGCCTCTTTCTTATCGAGGCACATCAGTGAATTCACACACCCAAGTGTGATCGAGGCACATCAGTGAATTCACACACCCAAGTGTGATCGAGGCACATCAGTGAATTCACACACCCAAGTGTGATATGTCAGTGGCAGCACATCTAGGGATGAGGGAATGACACAATCAAGGGCTTCGTCGTGCTACTCCGAAGGCAAACGCATGGCTTTACGCATGTCATGTAAAGAGGCCAGATCAGACTCTTCTCCTCCGTTAACTTTAACCTTCATGCTCCATTGGCAAAATCATCAGCCGAGAGAGAGGATTGGAACACTGTGTAGCATGGCAGATAATTAAGGGATTTTGTGGATATCTCAGGAAAGAGACAATTTGGACAGTGGACAATAGCTGTATTTAATTATTGTGTGTGTGTGTGTGTGTGTGTGTGTGTGTATGTGTGTGTGTGTGTAAACAGATTTAAATTTTACATGTGCTCCACGGGTGCACTTTAGAAATAGGAGTGGTCTTCCTAAGGTCGTAAAATGATGGTTGGTGAGCGTGTACCGAAGGGGTTGTTGATGGAAAGGAGCTCTGTGAATAAGATAACTAAAGCATAGAACAAAAGTGACTTCCCCAACTCCTATTAACATCACAGGCCACATGCATTTCAAACCACACACAAATTCTCAAGCATTGACTGTAGCCTATCACAGAGGGCTGTGAAGTACCATTCATGAGGATGATGTTTGACTGGCAGGGCACCCTGTGTTATGGTTCTCAGTGTGTACCTCTGACATCTAAAACTCAATATTATAATAAAAACCCACATGTCACCAACCCAAACAGCCTTGCAGCTGCAAGCAGTTATTATTAAATGCAGTTTAGATTCTAAGTTGGCAGCCCACGCATGAGCAACTAAGCATGTATTTACTTCAATGTGCCAAAACGAATTCGAAATTGGGGCTGTTAGAAAATTTTTAAAAGTGTAACAATTGTTTTCTAGACTACAGAAATCTAGGGCAGTAAGGGAGTTCAAGAAATTTTAATTAAATTTATTATTGCTTAACATTTATTACTATTACTTAAATTGACCTATTTAATTAAGTTTACTATTGGGTACTTAATTAAATTGTGTTATATGAAAAAGTTAATCTGAGTTAATTCTGTTCTTATGAAGCTTCTATCTATCATCTATCTATCTATCTATCTATCTATCTATCTATCTATCTATCATCTATTCAAACTCCCGAAAGTGTCACACAGGAAAAAAAATAAGGTTGATTTTTTGTTCCAGCACACAACTATACGTGCCTAGTGAATGACATGTCTTCAAATATTCACCTCTGCCCTTGTGAGAACCCCGTCAGTTACACAGGGAAATGTCTCACTTGATTCTCTTCACTTATCTTTTGGACAAAACCAAATTACCAGTGCACTCTTCCCCCTCATTCTGAAGCATGGGAGTAACTGAATTTCAGCTCTTTTCAAAGACCAATTCAATCTTCAATAGCTCAAGATTTGCGATTTGGAGAATATTAAAGATGTCCCTAGGCAGAGGCACATCTGTATAGAACTCTGGGGACACTGAGCGATGCGCAAGCTTCTGCCCCATAGAAGTACACAGTCAGGTGCTTGTTAAAAACAATGAGCTTTATCACCTTGTTGGCACAAGAGGTTCACCAGCCTTGTTGAAGGGATTCACTCTCCCCGCACCCAGACTAGCTCAGTGCCTACCATAAGGCCACTCTGGCTGTGTCTTAAAGCATTTCATTGCTATTTGGAAGTAGTAGTAACAGAAAAATATCATTGAAATGCAAATTAAGATCCGAAGCTGCTCAGTTTGAATAACCTTCTGAACCTACCTGTCACCATGTCTGCGGGCTGTGGAGAAGTTGTGCTGAGTGGCAAGAAATTAGCAGAGTCTGTGGAGGCACTGGGAGGGGCATTAGCAGAGTCCCAGGAATGGGATAGGGCTGACAGAAGGCAGGCTGGAGAGAGCTCAGAAGATGCTAATTGGAAGAAGGCCCTGCTCACCTTGTAGTCACACACCCATGAGTCAGCTGCTCTCTTGAGTACCCTTTTCTCTGGCTTCATCTACTCCTGGTGTCGATCTGTGGAGCGGATTTCTGATTTAATTCCTGCCAAGATCAGGCATGGTGGATAGTTCTAGGTAAATTACAGGTTAATCTCATGCAACTCAATTCCCCGTGAGTTAAATAGGAGTAATCCTTACCGTATCCATACGGTACACTGCTGTGCAGACTCTTCGGTGGTTACTGTGTTATGGAAAACCATAAATATATTATTAATATTGTTTTTCCTTGTGTTAGTATATCCAATTGAAAAGGTTTTCAAATGTCATCTCACAAAATGGTGTCTATTTTTAGACCAACTGGGCACAACTAGACGGCTGTCAAATCTTCTCTCAAGCTATTTGAGTAATCTAAGCCTGGATCTCAGAATTTAGTGTGTCTTGCCCTATTTGTTTATTGGTTCCACTTCTCTAAACATTTTAGTGATCACTATGCATTTATAAATATGCATTTCAACTGTCATATTTAACTTCACACAGTTATAGCATTTGATACATCATCTGCGAAGCCATGTACTCTAGTCCTCCTCCCATTTGTGCTATGATTTATTCATATTTCCCTCTACATGTGTTATGAGCTCCATGATACATTCCTTCTGTTTTGCTGTTGTTGTTTCAGCTAGGTAATAATGTTTACATGGAATTAAAAATGAAGGCAGTTGTTTTTGTTTGCCTTGGTTTTTGTCATTTATATTACTGCATCATGGAGTTCCATTTATGATATTAAAAACAATATGCTCAGAATGAATTCCCTATTTTGTTTGTCTGAAATTAATTTTCTTTCACCTTCATTTCTGGAAGTTATTTTTACTGGCTATAGTCTGCCTTGATAGATTTTTTTAAATCTTATTTTTTAAATATTTTACAGCAAGTCCATTGCTTTATGACTTGTATGTTATCTAAAGCTTAGTTTGCTGTAGTTCTTATGGTTGTACTATACTTTCAGTTTTAAATTACTTTTTATCTTAGCTTACAGAAGGATGAGTTCTATTCTCATTGTCATCCATACATATTATTGTGTCTTGTTCAGTCACTTTCCTTCTCTTCTGTTTTTCATTGTCATTGGTTTTGAAGAGTGACTAGGACAGGCCTGGGTGTCCACAGGTCAGCATTTGTCCCTTCTAGTTTTCTCAGGTGTATACTTCTGTTACTGAGCACTTAAGTTCACAAACCGGATGCCGCCTTTCCCTGGATTTTAAAACAAACAATGGAGCCAGAACTGATAAAATAAAATGGATTCACATACAGTTTGGCCATCACTGTAAATCGAAGGCAATTTTGGTCTTTCCTGAGGCGATGGTAAAAAAAAAAAAAAAAAAAAAACTTGTGATGTGAAAAACCAGAAAGTATTGCATAAGTTAATTTAACTTTGGGGGAAGATGCTGGAACTGTGAAATCTCCTCCCATAAAGCCAGTTCCTCTTTTGGCTGGTGCTAGCTATAGGTGTGTCTCCCCATGCATGGCATTTGGGAGGAATATAATTAATATTAATTATATTCTTTGGAGTTCATTATCTCAATAGTTTGACTACTGAAAGGGAGGGGCACAGATTCTGTTTTAGGGTATCACTTTCCCTGCCAGAGCTTCAGCATAGAATCATAGTTACAGTTCAGTTCTCTCTCTCTCTCTCTCTCTCTCTCTCTCTCTCTCTCTCTCTCTCTTTCTCTTTGTCTCTGCCTTCCTCTCTGTCTCTCTGTCTGTCTGTGTCTCCCCCTTCTCTCTCTGTCACTCTCTCATTCTGCCCCACATTCATTCTGGAAAGAAAGACATAGGTGGAATGAATACAAATTAAGAGCTAAAGTTAGAGCCAGGTGCAGGTGGCATACACCTCTAATCTCAGCTTTCAGGAGGCAGAGGCAAAGGCAGAAAGATCTCTGAGGCCAACCTAGTCTACAAAGAGAGTTGTCGGACAGCCGAGGCTACACGGAGAAACCATGTCTTGAAAAACCAAAACAAAGAAACAAACAAAAAAGGAGCCAAAGTTAGAGGACATTCAGTTAATGTAATATTAATGTAAATTTAATTCATAGGAGCCATTAATTTGCCATAACCGGATTCACTAGCTTTTAGAAGGGCTGGAAAGACTCCATTCTATTACTGGGTTTCAGACAGGACATCCCTAGCAAGCTAGACCTCCCTCACACTTGTGAGCCTCCTGCTCCACCTTCTAACAGCTTTAATGCAGTCATGCACCACTGTGCCCAGTGTGACCATGTAAACTGTGACAAGTTCCTCCTGTGTCTCTAAATGACATTCTCTGCAGGTGTCCCTGACAAGCCATCTTGAAGCTCAGTTTTTAATTGCCTCTATTGCTGGAATGTAGCTTTTTCTTCACGATCTGATCTCATGATGGAGAAGTAGCAGGCAGGACATAGCACCAAATTTAAGTAATAAGAGGTCTAGGAAGAAAATTCTCAGGCTAGATCTACTGTTGCATCTCAGGAGGACAGAGTGCCTATTGGTTTTGCTCTTGATGGGAGCTTGTTTTTCCAGGATATGTATGCTTTTGCTCTCGGGTTTTGGGTGGAATGCTTTTCTGTATCCTTCTTTCTTAGAAGTTCATGTTTATGATAGCCATCCTGTGGTTCCTGTTAAGTGCACAGACTTCCTAAATGAAAGAAGTGAGATTGTTTGCTTCCCTCCTGCAGGAGAATATCAACAGAGGGTTTCTGAAGAGAGGAATCTGAAGCCCATGTAGCAGAAGTAGGAGTCTCTTCTTAAACATCTCTGAGGATGGGTGTGGCTTCCCAAATTAAGCTATGGGTGCTAGAAATGCCTAGCTCTTTTTCAATTTTCCTCTTTATTTTCCACATGGATAACTTATTATAGTGGGCTATCTATTATAATAGCAAGCAATGACTAAATTCATTCATTAGTCTAGAATAGGGAGAATAGTTCATAGAGCACACAGTGAGAGGGTGATGGACTAGGTACTCGGCAGAGCATCACTTGAAGTCCAGGGGCCTTGAGCTGTGGGGGACTCCATCTTGGAGAAGCTCTTTTTCTGGTTAAGGTGAGTTTCCTTATGGGCATCCTCATACAAAGTAACTTGTTCCATATGAGGGAGAACAGGCCATCTTGGCTACTATACAGCTCTAGGAGTTTAATGTGAGTAACTGTGCATATAATTTATAACTATATGATTCCTAAGCAAGGAGGAGTCATACAGATGACAAATGAAGATGGTCCTGGTGGAGCAATGTTCATGGTCATGGGACTGGAGTTGTGTTTTCTAGGTACAGCACTCCATAGCTAGTGGTTCAGGATTTCTGGATTAAAGTTGTGAAATTTTCTTAATGGGGTGGCTACAGGAATGAGCTAGCACATGAGTAGTGTCCCTGTGTACTGGACACCAGCATTTCCAAAGCGATATATTAGCTCTAGTTTCTAAAACTTCAAGGACAATGACATACTGAAAAAAGATTTCTTAGAGAGTAAAGCTGTCTTAGGGAACTGCAGTTAGTATGCTATTATAATCATCAAACAAAACCTTATGTAGCTTTCTCCTATCTTCAGACTGGAGACATATTAAGAGTGAGCATAGACGCTAATAGAGAGTCCAGGTTTGTCTGATACTCCAAACATTCTGGGATTTCCTGCTCTTTGATGGCAACGTGTAACTTTAACTGCTCATGATCAGCCTCATTATCTTCAGAAGGGACATTGTTTACAGCACAAAGGTCTAGAAGCTTTGTTCTGATTTCTAGCTGTCTTTTTTCCTATTCATATTGCTGCTCACCTCTATCTTCTGTTAAAATCCTCACCTTCCATGCCAGTGAGATGGCTCAGCAGGTGGGGGTGCTTGCCACCATGCCTGATGACCCACCTGAGTTCAATCCCAGAAAGTCACGTGGTAGAAGGAGAGCCCAGACGCCTGTAGATTGTTCTTTAACTATACTCACACAGGCAGAAACACATGTAAATGCAATGACTCTTGTAAAGTCTTCAGCTGCTTTTGACTCAGAAAGCATTTGACCTTTGACTTTTGGCAGTCAGAGACTCTGACCACCTCCCCTTCAGGTCATGTGTTGTCTATGTTTGCAGAATCGCATCGCTAAGCGTAGCAGGAAGCTCGTGGACTATGACAGCGCTCGCCATCACTTGGAGGCTCTGCAGAGTTCCAAAAGGAAGGATGAGAGTCGGATCTCCAAGGTAAGGGTGCACCCAGTGAGTGACTTCACTCTCCAAATCTTGAGACTTGTAGCAGCCTTGTTTTTAAAAATTGGACATTTCCCCGTTTTAACGGAAGACTGCAATCAGGATAGAATTCAAACTAAATCACAGTTTTCTAAGCCATTTTAATTAAAATAAGGTTTTTTTTCATGTTATTATAAGTGAGATCCATGACTGACACATTTTGATCAGAATAAATTTGAGCCCTTTGCAGTGCTTCAAGCTCAAAGAAACCCAAGAGAGTTTCTGCACTTCTTTATGGTCCATGAACATTGCCAAAATATAGATTCAGGTGGGAGGCCAACCTTGACATTCTTAGACAAAACTCCCCACTGAAAATAAGGCAGAAGCTACATTTGCATAACATCAGTTTCTTGGAGAAGATTCATTTCTGCAGCTCTTATCGTTGTAATAGTTTACTTTTTTAATGCTGTGATAAAACACCATGCCTAGGCAACTTGTAGAAGAAAGGCTTATTTAGGGCTTTGGGTATTGGACAGGTATGTATCCATCACCACCACAGTGGGGAAATATGACAACAGGCAGGCATAGCAATTGGAGCAGAAATCAGGGAGGTCACACTTTATATCACAAGCAGGAAACAGAGAGATCAAAGTCAAACTCTGCAAGTCTTTAAATTTCCAAAACCACCCCCCCACACACACCAGTGGCATATTTCCTCCATCAAGGTTAAACCTCCCAAGCCTCTTAAACCTCATTACTGATTGAGGACCAGTTATTCAAATGCTGGAGGCTATGGGGATCATCTCATTCACGACATCACAATCTTGTCCACATTGCAGGTGCCGGCTAAATGATCAGCTGTCCACTCTTCCCTTGGATTCCAGTCTTGGTTTGTCTTCTCTACCATACACCATTGCAAAATCATCTTCCAACATGGCATCTCTAGATCAGGTTCCCGACTGCCTACCTCTCTTAATGCTCCCTATTAGGAAAAAAAAAAATCTCAATCTCTTAGTATGACAAGCAAGATCTTCAGTTTGGATACAAATTACGTGTCCACCTTTAACTTCCAAGTTTTTCCTTCTCTCCTTTCCTTCTTCTGTACACCCACCCTGAGCAGATCCTGCACGAAATACCCATCACTTCCCAAGCACATGTGATAGCAGCTGCCCTTCATGCAAAGCCTCAGAGAGGCCAGGCTCTGTAGAGCACTTCATCTATGTTGCCTTTCTTTCCCCTGTATCCAAGTCAAGGCAGTACAAAAGGTAAATCTGTCGAGGTTGTACCATGGAATTCCAGCCTGTAGGTCATTGCTTTTTTTAGATGGTGAAGGGATGTTTTTCTCTGTAGTGTGTTCTACAGGAAATTATAAGTCTATCTTGAAAATATACCTGGTAATGACTTAGACGTTCCATGGGGCTTTGCCTTTTCTGCAAGAGCATTTATGAGTAGTATCCACAGCAGAGATTGGTAGAAGCAGTATAGCATTTTGTAGAGTTAACAAATCAGAACAAGCCTGGAAGAATAGTCACTGGCTTTCCTGTGAATCTTACCATTTCATATTTAATAGCAAGATGGAATGGTTTTCAACAAATATTTCCTCTCAAAGCCTTCTCAGAGTACCATAAGACAATTCTTGTTTAATACAAAATGATCTTTTCTGCATAGGAATGACCCCTCTGTGTGCCAACATGCTGTGTGTCTTTTCTAGGCAGAAGAGGAGTTCCAGAAAGCTCAGAAAGTGTTTGAAGAGTTCAACGTTGACTTACAAGAAGAATTACCATCGTTATGGTCAAGGTAAATATGCTTCTGCTCCAATTTTCACATCCCACCTTTAGCAGTCCAAAAGAAGTGACTTCCCCCGTTGTCACCTTCCTTGTCTATAATCCCTCTGTGCTGGCTGGGAGAAGTTCTGCACCTGTGATTTCCAATATGGAAACCACTAGTCACGTATACCTAATGAATACTCAAGATGTGGTTGGGGAGACTGAGGAATAAAATTTTATATTTATTTTGTTGTATCTCATTTTAATTAAATAGCCATATGTGCTGGGTGAATATTTAGACCCTGATAGATTTCTCAGTGAATACTCAAATTCTAACTAGGAAAATTTTACGTAATCTTAGACTTACAGTAAGATCACTCCAGCTCTTGGTTGGATTTCCCTTATCCTTAGACCTCATCTGGTCTCTGACCTTGTTCTTTGGACTATTAACCTGGGCTCTAATCCTGTACCAAATGCTGTTCTTATTCACAGGCACTCCACAGTTCTCATGGTATCAAGAGAGATTTATGTGACTTAATCCATTTTAATCACTCAGTGGTAAGACCAGGAAGTTGCTGGAAGTAGTGATGCCTTAAGTTCCTTAGTTCTCATCAACAGTTCCATGCCACCAGCCCTTCAAACAACTCTGCCCGCCATTCTGTATTACTGTTAATCTCTTCCCCTACCTTCTAAATTGCTGGTGGCCCTGAAGAAAGTAACCACATATGCGAGCTTAATTTCCCTCTGCTTTTATCTGCAGCGCTCTTTAACTGAAATTGCACACAGTCCTGATTTTTCACAAGCACATAGTTCTTTTGCTATTGACATTGCTCAAGCCTGAAAATGAAGTCAGCAGTTTTAATCTTCAATGTCTCCTATGAGGAAATGCACAGGATAGGCCATATAGCAGTGAACATGTACTTAGTGATAAATGCTTGAATTTCTGCATCAAACGCATGTTTGACATTCAGAAATTATTCACTGTGTCTCGTGCTGTGGTGTTCATTGGGTCCTCAATTCTCTGTTTTCTGCCTAATTATTCTATTTATTACTGAAGCTGAGTTATCGACATTAACTATTTTCAGGCCCAGTTTTTCTCTTCTGTTCTGTCAGCTTTTACTTTACTCCTTTTTCAGATATACATATTACTAAGGATATTATCCTTATAAAATGTTTTATGTTTTTGTTTGCTTGCTTTGAGACCAGGTCTCATGTAGCCCAGGCTGGCTTTTAACTTGATTTATAGCAAAGGATACCTTAAATTCCTGATCTTCTTGTATTATTTGGCCCTCACCCAAATAATCACACAGAAACTATATTAATTACAACATTTTTATTTTATTTTATTTATTTATTTATTTTTAAATACTTATTTATTTATTATGCATACAATATTTTTTCTGTGTGTACATCTGCAGTCCAGAAGAGGGCACCAGACCTCATTACAGATGGTTGTGAGCCACCATGTGGTTGCCGGGAATTGAACTCAGGACCTCTGGAAGAGCAGACACTGCTCTTAACCACTGAGCCATCTCTCCAGCCCCTAATTACAACATTTTTGACCAATGGTTCAGGCATATTCCTAACTAGCTCTTACATCTTTAATTAACCCATGTCTATTAGTCTGTGTATTGCCTTGAGGCTGTGGCTTACCAGTAAGGTACTGGCGTCTTTCTCCTTTCACAGCTAAATGACTTCTCCCTGACTTCACCTTCTTTCCTCACCTATCTCTGCTTGGATTTCCTGCCTTTCTATATTCTGCCCTGCCATAGGCTAAAGTAGCTTCTTAACGGTGATAAAAAAATATTCACAAGATACAGTAAGGAATCCTACGTCACTCTTGGCTTTACCTCCAAATGCTGGGATTACAGGTGTACACCACCGCATGGAACTATATAGTATCATCTTTTATCTTTCTTAATAAATGTTTGTCTGATACCTACTCCAAGTCTCTGTTGCTCACTCCTTACATGGTACCTTTCTCATCTCCCTTTTCTATTCTTTTTCTTTCACTCTGTTTGCATCTTTGAATCTAAAAGGTGGATGGTATTAAGCTTGATGCTTGTCTTTAGTTTGCTCTTTGTTTCTTTTGTTCTTTTAATTTCCATTGCTTCACTGCAAAGAAAATTGTTTCAAAAGTTTGGATATATAAAGAAGAGAAGTAAGGTCCAGGAAGATGGCTCAGTCTATGAAGTGCTCCCCATGCAAGCATGAGAACTTGATGTCAGATTCCTATTGCCAAATAGAGCTGGGTGTAGTGGCATGCATTTGTACCAGCCTGAGGGCCAGAGGTATGGCTTGCTGAAGTTTATCAACCATCAATCGGTCAATTGGTGAGCTACAGTTTCAGTGAGAGACCTTAGTATTGTTTCAAAATATGAGGTGAACGGTCTACTTCCAGTCACCATATGCACACGCACAAATGTACACACACATATACGTTGAAAGAAATAATCTACTACGTAGAGGAAGATATAGATTGCAAAAGATTGTATTATTTATTTTAAATAAAAGTTTCTGTCACATCTGGTCCTGAAACTGTTTAGTCCCAAATACATACACAAAGGCTTATATTAATTACAAACTATTTGGCTTGTTAGCTCAGCCTTATTATTAGCTAGCTCTTATAAATTAAATTAGCCCACAATTCTTGTCTATGTTTAGCCACATTGCTTGATACCTTTTCTCATTCAAGGCATTCTTATCTTGCTCCCTCTGCATCTGGCTGGTGACTGTCTCTGCCTTTCCTTTTCCCAGAATTCTCTTAGTCTGGTTATTCCACCTGTACTTCCTTCCTAGCTACTGACCAATCAGTGTTTTATTAAACTGATACGAGTGACAAATCTTTTCATGGGGGAATTGTTGGAGGTTGAGCTTAGAGTCTCACTCACACTACACAGCTATTCTCCCTCCTACCTATATTTATATTTCCACAAACTTGTGGTTCAAAGGACATGGCTATAAAGCATTGCTATAAGGAAGGAGGATGCTGTACGGGATGCTTTATCTGAAGTTTTTGAAGTCAGTATTTGGTGAACAAATATTCCAAGCTGAAGAGGGCACACTTAAAGGCATAGATTTTAGATTCTTAGAACTGCTTTTAATTTTAAGGGCTTTTTATGTGTATGGATACACATGTATTTCTAAGTACAATATGTGTCTGGTAGCCATGAAAGTCAGACAAAGGTGTCAGGTCCCCTAGAACTGGGAAGTTAAGGATGGTTGTGAGCTACCATGCAAGTGCTGGGAACTAAACTCAGGTCCTCCGGAAGAGCAGTCAGTGCTCTTAACTGCTAAGGCATCTCTCCAGCTCCAGTTTTTTGAAGTTTAACGTAAAGTATCATGAGGTTGATTGCAAAGCAAATGCTAAGGAGGGAATTATGGGGAGAGAGCAGAACTAAGATAAGGTGAGATTCACTTATTTATCAGAGTTATTAACCACCACTGTGTATCTCTCTTCTTTAAGGTGTTATAGATCTTACACTGAAAGTTTTTTTTTTCTTACAGCCTACTGTGAAGGGTAAATAGAAACAAAAAGTAAAATATCAGACAAACTAGCATAATGGTGACTGACATTGCTGATTGGCCAGTGTAACTTCAGAGATGAGGAAAGCTTCCCTCAAAGATTTAGTACATGCTGACAATGAAGGTTTAGGGATGCACTGAGCCCCATCTTATGTGTGCTGTGTTTGAAGAATCTTTAGGAAGTCTGTTAAGGAAAGAGCAGCTGGATCTCAGAAAGGAAGATAGGAAACACTAAGTATGAGTGAAGTAGATGCCCGGATGCCTGAGTGGCTGTGTGAAACTGTGTGCAGTATCAGGAATCCCTGAAGGAAACCATAAGAGGAAATAATCAGAGCTCTAGCAGGGCCCTGAAGGGAAGTAGGACCTCAAGAAGCTGTGAACGGAGAACAGACTAGTGATGAACATGTTCCATGAGTGCCAGTTACAATAGGAAGATCAAGTGCAGGAGAAATAATGACATTTCACCTTTACTAAACTTCCAAAGAAGGTTCAGTGACTGGAGGGATCAGAGGCTCCATGGCAAGCACTGATAACTCCGTCAGACGTGAGGAAACAGCACAGTGGATATCTGGTTTGAAAGTCTTGATTTTAGGATGGGCATGAGGAATCATGTAGCAAATATAGAGACTTGATAGAACAAGTTAATCTTTGAAAATCAACTTTTGTCACTTTGAGAAGATGGCAGTGCCAGTGGCATTAGAGGGATAGTGTCCTGAGAATGTGTGGGATAAGTAGTGGATTGGAACTGTATGAGGGTGTTGATAGACTAGTCAGACAGGGCTGGGGGGTATTTTACATGATTCTGGCTTGAAAAGGACCAGACCCCCATGGACTCTGTTGCCTGAAATAAATAGTGGCCTCATTCTCAGGGTGAGAGACTCTGGTGCATCCAGTCATAAATAAGATGTCTTCATCAAGGTCTTCCTCCCCTTAAGGCTCATTGATATATGTAGAAGCGGCATACAGACTGTAAAAGTCAGAGGTGATGGATGGTTCCTAGGAAGCAGCATCTTCTAGACACAATAGGATTGATGCACATATGAACTCACACAGACTGTGGCAGCGTGTACAGGGCCTACACAGGCTCAAGTCAGACCCAAGCCCCAGCACTGAGAAGGGGAAGTGATCACAGGCTCCCACCCCTAACCAAGAAGCTATCTGCAACTGGTACCTGCTGACAAAAAATGAAAAGCTAGTTTTCTCCAATGGAGTTTTATTGGGTACACCTTACACTTAAAGGTTGGCCTTGGGCCCAGAAGCAGTTGGGAAACAAAACAAACCCGATGGTATTTTTGTAGACTTTTATTTGTCTTGTTTGGACATTTTTTTTTTGTCTTTTTGGGTTTTTGCTTGTTTCATTTTGTTTTCTGTTTTTATGGTTTTGTGGAGGTTTTAAATTTGTGTGTTTTGCTTTTATTTGTTTTAGAGAGAGTGAGAAATAACCTAAGGGAGAAAACATGATCAAAATATGTTGTTTGAAAAAATTTTGAATAAAAAGGTTTACAAAAAGCCAGAAAGAGGTAGTAATTATACACAAGTTTTAAAAATAGAGTCACAGATACTTGCAAATGCAATAAAAGATTTTTGCCTGGGAATGATTAGATGTGAGACCCTGGGTTGCCCCAATTCACAGATGGAGCAATGAGAATGATGTGGCATAGATCTGGCATAGATGTGGAAGAACAAGCATAATTAAGATGTCTGGGCCATTCTATGTGTACCTGCTCTTATGGTAGATAGTAGCCTGGGTGTAGAGTTCTGTTGGGTTAGTGTCATGAATGAGTGAAAAAGAGTGAACCCATGAGACTTGGCCTATGCAGAGTGGTTGGGATGGGTTTGCAGCTTAGATGTGAAAAGGTTAAATATTTAGCAGCCGAAGTGTGATTGGGTTCAGCATCTGGAGAAAAGTTGCGAGAAGACTCCCCTTTCTGTACCCATCTCCATGGCAGGAAATGTGGTAGAAACATAGGGGAAGCCACGTCCTCCTCCACCTGATGTGCAGAATTCGCTTGGTGCATCCTGGAGGGAATGGTGTATAGGTTTGCATATGCCATCTGCTCTGTTTCCAAATATTTCCTTCATTTATGAGAACAAAATACTTCTTTGGTGCCAACATGGTGATGGTGATTTAAAAACAATATTTTGACAACTAATCAGAAACATCATGGTGATGCCATAAACCAGACCTTTTGGGAGAACTGGTAAAGACTCAAGATCCATTATTATGTAGAACTTGTGAAATGAGCCTTCCAAGAAAATATAGGCACTCAGAGCATGACATCCTGTAAATGTGTACTTCACTGCTGTTCTCGCTAGCATTTCATAAGTCAAGGCAGTCAGAATGCACCCCTCCAATGGCTTTTTCATTTGTCTGTTCATTCGTTCATTTATTTGTTCATTCATTCATTGCTGACTCACTCAAAATATTTACTACGTGCATTCTGGGCCCTAGGTGCCATGTCAGGGGCCAAGACTGCAATTGTGAACAAGTCCATGGCCCCTGTTGAAAACAGTCTCTGTTTTCGTACATTGGAGAAAGCTTATATATGTTAAGTTGTATCATCACCACTATGACCATATTTTCTAAATTAACACATGCTACTTAATTTCTAAATTCTAAAATCAAACACAATATTATAAAAGTTTACATGCTTGTTTAATTATTTAAAATACAGTATTTCTTTCTGGTACTATACCAATTGTTTCTCTCAGAGAAATAAAAATTCAACATGAAAATGTAGTGTCTTCGTTCCTGTTACTGTAATAAAATACTGGGACAGCAACAACTTAAGGGTAAATGGTTTGTCTCCAGACCCAAGTTATGGTCCATTGTGGCAGTGCTGGAGGGAGGAGGTCACATTATATCCACAGCCTAGAGAAGACAACAATAACTGAATACATGTCAGTATTCAGCTAATTCTGGCCACTCTTAAACAGTTCACAATTCCCTACTTAGGGAATAGTGTCACTCACAATGGGCAGATCTTCTCACATCATTTAACAGAATCAAGATAATACCCACAGTAATATCCAGAGGCTTGTCTCCCAACTGCTTCTAAAGTCTGTCAAGTTGAAAATTTCAGACCAAGTATCACAAGTACATATTAGTTTTTCTTTTTGGATAACTTTATTAGTGATTTAATACAGTAAATGTAACAGCCTTTATCAATGGATAGTAAAAGTACACGAAAATATGTCCAAAATATGCATAGGTGATAACAACGAGGGAGAAAATACTTGAACAAAAATGTTGTGTTTAACTAATCAAAAATTCATACTTGAAATATGCAGGTTTTCAGTAGCAAACTTATGGACATTACATCAAACAATATTCAAAGGTAAGAAGGAAAATGGCTCAGCCGATAGAAACTGTTTGACAAGGACATCAAAGCTTCCTTATCCAAACTTCTCACTAGAATTTGCAAATGTGAAACATATTATAAGGAAATATTGAGCCAGGCATAAAATTTCATTCATTGCTCTTCTCTGTAATTTTATCATAAAAGAAACTCTATACAATATTCACCATCATGGTTTGAATGAAAATTATCCCCTGTGGTGTTCAGCATTTGAGCACTTGGTCCCTGCTGGTGGTGCTGTTTGTGGAGGTTTAAGTGGTGAGGCCTTGCTAGAGGAAGTGTGTCACCAGGGATGGTGTACGTGAGGTTAAGTCCTCACCTTACAGTCGGTGTGTCTGCTTCATGATAGCTGTTAAAGATGTGGTCTCAGATCCCTGCTACTGCTGTCAATGCTCTTCCCACCCTATGGATTCTCACTGCTCTGGGACTATAAGCCCAAATGAACTGATATTGTCCTGGCCATGGTGTTTTATCAAAGCAGAAGACTCTTTAGCTGTTTGTGCCCACATCCGTCATTATTTTATGTTTATTCACATATAAACTACTGTGGCATCTTGCCATTCCCATGTGGTTTTATATTTTGTTTTTATAATTTAAATATAATTGGTATAAATGCTCAATAGTTAAGCTGCTTGGTACCACTTGAGCCCGCCATGATGGGTGTACCCAGAGGTAGGTTGGTTTTGGTGAGTAATTAGACAAAGAAAAGATTGATTAGAGTCTAAGAAAGGGATTATACATTTCAGTTTGCTCCTCCAGAAACATTTCTCTAAAAACACCACAGCAAGTGGTTTCCTCTGTATGGCATTATCAGAGAGTCCACACTGTCTCTCCTTTCCCATATAGCTATGTCTGACCTTGTCTCTTCGAATTCAAGCTCAAAATATGTCCTCTCTCCTATCTCAAAGCATGGCTACATACTTCCTCTGATCTGTAAATAAATGTGACTTACAGGCCACCATTGAGAACCATCTGCTTCCCAGCTCTTGGTCTCTGATCTGAGTCTTAACTGTTTCCCAAACACACTATGCCAGGGTTTTCATTACTATAGTCTATATGCCTAAGTATGTGTATGTGTGCAAATATATATATATTTGTCTTCTGTATCTGTGGAGAATTGGTTCCCAGAATCCCCAGGGGAAGCAAAACTCCATGGCTGCTGAAGCCTGTTACATAAAAAACGATGTGGTATTGGTGCGTGACCTTCTCTCACATCCTCCTGTGCACTTGCAATCAGCTCTAGATTGCTTAGAAGACTTAATACCATGACAACATGGTGCAAAGAGCTGTTGTGAATGGTTCAGAAAATAAGATGGAGAAAATAGTCTCTGTTCAGTTCAGATGCCATCTGTTTTCTGATGGTTTTGATCCATGCATGGTTGAACCATAATAGAAAGAATACAGATATGGATATATATCCGTGTGTGTGTGTGTGTGTGTGTGTGTGTGTGTGTGTGATTTAGAGGTCCATCAGCATGTGTGTATATGTGAAATATGGGATTTAAAGTCAGTTACAATAAAAATATGTGAAATCAGGGTCACGTGGTGACTGTGGGTATAGGAAATGAAGGTAGTGTGGCAGGGATTTAAGGTACAAGATAAAGCACAGGAAAATAATGCCTTATTGATGGGGCAGACTTACCACTTAATTACTGCTTCATTTCAGAGTTTTTAATTTTTAAATCTGGCTCCAAAGTTTTTGTTTTAGTTAAAATTCAAAAGCACCTAATTTAAGCAGAATTTGCTGATACTGAAATAACAAAAGTCGTTGTTTTAAAAATTTCTTGTAAAGTATTCTATGATTTTCTATTACCTTTTCCTCTTTGGGGGTTTTGATACTGGTTTTCTCTTCCCATGAATTGCCTGACACTGGACAGTTAATCCCCATTTACTTTTTCTAGTAAATGAGGCTAGCAGTCCCAGGGGATTGGCATGAGAAGCAAGGGAAGGAACAAATAAAAGCACCTTGATCAACCCTCATGGTTTCTCCATTTCTTCTCCCTGGAATCCTATGCACTTTAAGGGCTCTGCTTAAGCAAGAGAAGATCACTGAGTGTCCTTTTGTCTGAGTCTTTACTTAGTTTTTTTTTTTTAATTGAGAGTTCAGATCTAATTTAAAAATCAGGACACTAGTTATTTTTGAGAATGTCATTGAAACAATAAAATGAATTAAAGTTGTCACTCAGATAAGTTAAAAAAAAAGAATTAAGTAAAATAGAGTCCAGATACTTTTTATTTGGAATTTATTTAGGAACCACAGATGAAGACAGATGGGATTTGCCTCATGTCCCAGCACCATTCCCATAACTTTCCCTTTACAAATGTGTCTGAGATGTTGCCAATCGGAAGCTTGTGTGCTCGACAGCTAAGAAAAGTTAGGCTTGCTCTAAGATGTTATTAAATCCAATGTTGTTCAAAATCACATATAGAAAACAGTCTTAATATGTTTAATTGCCATTAAAATCCATTTTTTGCTAACTAATCTCTCTTATATTTGTGTTTCCCCATGGTAGACGAGTTGGCTTTTATGTCAATACTTTCAAAAATGTCTCCAGCCTTGAGGCCAAATTTCACAAGGAAATTGCGGTGGTGAGTGATGGTAGCTGTTTACCTTACCAAGGGCAGTGCAAAGGGAGCAGAGGGCATGGCTTACTGACTAATGCACCCTCTTACAAGGCTCCTGGAGCTGCAGTTTGTTAATACTCTCTGCACATGCTTTCTGTTAGTTGTCAACACACAGCTCCCTACACCCTCCAAGGGTCTTGTCAAAGCCTCACTTTCTTGTTTTTCTCTTCTGTGGGTTAAAGTCAGAATGTCAAGTGATGTTCTAAACTAATGAAAAATTGATCTCAAGATATTCAGAAAAGCATCAGCCATGTTGCTAACTATTGCTTTTGTCGTTCCTCAGGGCAGCCTGAGGATTACTTCTAATAGAGTTAAAATGAACAATCTGTTTTTCTCTTCTGCTTGATATTAGAGTGAATACATAATTGATTGACTCAGCATTTGGTTTATTTCAGCTTGGCTGTAGACTTTAAATTTGGTATATGGGATTTCAAGTGCCCTGAGACCAATCTACTTCTTAGAACAATTATAGCTTCTCATTAAACAGTTTCTTTCTAAGGGAGAATGGCATGGGTGGGCACTAGAATGTCCTGTGGCTAATAGGCCTCTGTCCCCTTAGCTTTGCCACAAGCTCTATGAAGTGATGACAAAACTGGGTGATCAGCATGCTGACAAGGCCTTCAGTATCCAAGGAGCTCCCAGGTAGGCCACTGCTCCTCAGAGCTCACCCTGTTCCGTGTGCCAGTGATGTGCTGTGTGCTGAGTTATCTGGAGTCTGGAGACCACATCTTTCTGTTTTATTCACCTTGAAAAGGTCCAAAAGGAGCCTTCCTACCTGGGGAGTCATCCTAACCACAGATTTAGGGCTTTTACATTTCCTTTTGGCCTTCAGTTGCCTCAATATGCTACTGGTCACAGTAGACCTAAGTAACTGCCTCTGATTTACATGGGGCCCCAGAGCCATAGTATGGGATAGGGATCATTTCTACCTCTTACTTTATCTGAATAGGAAAAAAAAATCAAAACTCCAAAGTTTTGTGCTGATTATTATCTGCTGAAGGAAGGAAAGAAGTGGAAGAGAACTCTCCACCCTCTGCCTCTGCTTTGGCATTTATTGCACAACATGGCTCTGTTATGACTCTACTGTAGGATGCTGTTACTGTGCCAATCACGGGCGAAGGGCCCAGTGGCACATCTTAGCTGTTTTCCTTGGTTTGATTGCCCACTTTCTCTTATGATTTTGAAGTCTCTTTTACCCACCGATGCTTAGCAAACCTTGAACTAGCAGTCAGAAGCCCTTTAGGTTCTAGTCATATGCCTCTGTGGTTAATTTGTTTTGTTTTTCTTGTTGAAGCCCAACAACCTCTGCAGTTAAAAAAGCATATTTAAAAAAATATCTATAGAAAAAGTGGGCTGCTGTGGAATGAAATGGTTTCTAAGGTGATGTTCAGTTCTAAGATTCTATACTTGTTGTTTTTTTTAATTGAATTTATTGAGCTCTACATTTTTCATTTATATTTTTATGCCAGTCATTGTAAACACTCATAGGAATATATTTATAGAATCATTCATAGCCACATGCAGTCCCAACCTCTGCATATGTCAGTGTGCGACGGCTGCTGTTTTGACCACTTATTACTTCTTAGGGTGGCCATAAATGTACCCCTGCTATGGCTGCCAAAGGAGCAAGTGTGTCTTCTCTCTCCAAAGGAAGGACATGATCTAAAAGAAGCCAAGAAGGGGCTCTAACATTTTTTTTTTATTATTAAGCTAGAAACAAGAGAAGAGTAAGAATATCAAAATGACTTTTTGGATCTTATAAAAGTAAAGTATGTTAAGAAACTGAGTGGCTTCCTCACATGGAAATAAAAGCCAGCGATGCTTTTGAAAATACCAATTTCAAAATTGTCTAAAGCAAGAAGTAGGGTCATGGCCACTTAACAAATGTCTCTTCCTCTTTTTGTCCTTCTTTTTTCTTATTCTTACTCTTTCTTTTTATTTATTTATTTTTTTTATTCCTCTGCAGAGCAAGGTGGTGAGTGAGCTCTGTGGGCAATTTCTAGACTAGAGCCTAGACTGGGGCTGTTCCAGTTATGTAGAGCAGCGGTTCTCAACCTGTGAGTTGTGATCTCTTTGGGCGGTCACATAACAGATATCTTGCATCTGAGCTATTTACATTATGATTCACGACAGCAGCAAAATGACAGTTTATAAAGTAGCAATGAAACAAAATTTATGTGGAGTCACCACAACATGAGTATTGATGGGTGACAGACTTAGGAAGGTTGAGAACCACTGGTATAGTGTCTCCTCTCTGAAGAACCCGGCTCCCTTAGCTCTTGAATGTGTAGACCATGCTGCTCTGTTTGTACTCTTATGTAGGTCACAGACTCTGTTCCCTCTGGCTGCTGTCGTTAGACATTCTTAGAGAGTAGGCTGTGTCCCGGTTGCCATCTGAGTCATCGTGTAAAGCTGTTCCCAAGCACCTGGCAAGGTGCCTAGAACATGGTGGCTTCTCGGCAAGTTGTGGAATCTCACCTGTCATGTGGTCTGCTGGCACATTGCAAGGTGTCCGAGTTAGTCATTGTTTCATAAAGCATCAAAACAAGTAATTGGTGCCTCCTCAAATGGAATCAGAAAGCACTCCCATGCAAGATTTATTAACACTCTCCTCAGATGCCTTGGAAAATGAAAGTGACAGTTTGCTGCGTAATTGTCTATAGATTGCAGCATGATTCGATTCTTCTGTGTATCAAAGGTGAAGCTGGTTTTACTACTACTGCCTATGTCAGGAAATGTTTGAAGCTTGTTTGGCATGTGGAGAGAACAAGACATTTGTACTACGCTCTAAATGCAAATATAGTAAAACTCTAAGTATCTTTCTTTTTTTTTAACACTCTGCCTTTTGCATATCTAAAGTGGGATCAATATTGCAAGGCTGCTCCGAAGAAAGAGACAATGCCTGGCTGGGTTCTGGTTCATAGGGAACAACAAGTGGGGCCAGTTATCAGTATCCATTACTATTGCTAATAATTAGAATTAGTCTGGAAGTGGGGAATATGAAAACTGATGTTAAGCTTCAGGGTTTCTCTGGGATAAAGCATCTTGGGTTGCAGAAGTCCTGCTTCTCAGAAGGCCTCTTGCTCAATTCTCTGTGTTTATCAAGTGATTCAGGTCCTCTTCGCATTGCAAAGACACCATCACCCCCAGAGGAGCCTTCGCCTTTGCCCAGTCCAACAGCCAGTCCCAACCACACACTAGCGCCTGCCTCTCCTGCCCCAGTGCGACCCAGGTCACCTTCACAGGTAGGACATGTGTACCGGTGTCATGGTAGAACTCATGGGGAAGTGATTTTCTCTGGGATCATCCTGTGGTGACCAGGCATTAGAAAATGCTTCTGTGGGAAGACTAAAGTGTGAAACAGTAGACATTACTAGCACTATGGAATGAGTCTGGTTTTCTATTTGATTTTTACCTTTTCTTCTATACTCAGTGTTTGAGTCCTTTGGACTTTCTTGCCCATCCCCAGCTTCTTGGACCAGAATGTATTCATCTCTACATTCTCTTAGAATCCCACCTTTCAGAGACTGGGGATCTGTTCAGTGATGGAGAACTCGCCTGGCTTGCCCCATGCTCTGAGTTCAGTTACCAGGCTTAAAAACAAAAATCGCCCTGGGGTCAAGGCCGGCCCAGGACTGCAGTAAGGTTTAGTATTCCATCACCCATATTGTGTTACATGTGAGTTGTGGTCCCTCAGCAAAAACCTGGCACAAGTTAAAAGAAACTGTGAGGACCAGGCAAGGGGAACTGGAGAGAGGGAAAAAAAATACTTTTGATTTCCCTACATTGAGCAAAAATAATATTTCTGTAGGGACATTTAACATTCAAGGTCCAGTATAAGCTTTCATAAACATCGTTGGAGCTAGAAAGTTGGAAGAAGGTATGTGTAATAGAGTCTAAAGTTCTCATTTCAAAATCCTGGAGTACAAAGTGAAGTGGAAGCTGCTTCTGGTTTGTCTCATTGATTCAACTGGAGAAAACAAACAAACAAAAAACCAACTGGCTTAATTTTTGTTTTAAAATTCCTGTTTTCTGCTGACAAGAGAAATCATTTGTAGTTGAACTGAGAATGTATGGCTTCCATGTGGGATCAGAGTTCCTGCAGCCCTGGGCAGTGCTCAAACTGAGGTGTATGGACTCTTCTCTCATGACATGACTTCTCCTGATTAGACCATTGCTTGTCAGTGTTCAGAAGCCACCCACATGAATCAAGTAGGCTTACACCTATGTACACCTCAGTTCATTCAGAAGTCGGTCTTCTCACTTCGCTGTGCTCATGTGACCCTTTCTCAAAGATGTTACAAACAACGCCTTTGGCTACCATGTTTATGTTTGATGCTTCCTAGACAAGGAAAGGGCCTCCTGTCCCACCTCTGCCTAAAGTGACCCCAACGAAAGAACTGAAGCAAGAGAACATCATCAACTTCTTTGAGGACAACTTTGTTCCAGAAATCAATGTGACGACACCTTCGCAGGTGAGTGCCCAGGGAAGCTGGGACGTCTATGAAAGGACCGTGGTGGGAGGGATTTTTAAGTCAGCTTCAGTGAAAGTAGCAGCTATTTGTGCTGCTAGTAAAAATTTGTCACTTGGGCTTGCTTTATTACTTTGTGTAAACAAAGGATTATTATATACACAATGTATAGAATTTGAATATTCTAACATTTATTGAGTAGAATATTACTTATTACAGTATATATTGAAAAGTATAAAATGAAGAAAAGTTGCTGTCATCTTACCGTTGCGACATAACCACACTTACACTCTGGCATGTTTTCTTTCTATCTGACTTCCCTCCCTTGAGGATTTATCAGTTTCACATTTGAAAAATTAGGCTGTGTTGTTAGGAAGTCCTGACATTGCAACTTCAGTTTACTGGGCATTTTATGTCATACAGTATTGTCTTTACAGAAGCATTGAACCTTACTATCCTATCAGCTGGAAGTTCCAACTTCTGACTCTTAGTTACACATTAATTTCTAGGTTACATCAGCCCACCCATTTGCAACTAGCTAGAGACACGTTCTTTCTTTTTTTCTACACTAACAATTGCACTGAACATATTTTAGGGTGGTTTGTCCTTGCTCAGTTGAGTTTACCACCCATAGCATCCTCTCAATTCCATCACAAGTAGGGACGTTAGTCTGCTAGAAGCCTGTGTACTTAGCCAAGGACATCCTGTCTAGGAGATGAGGCTACTTAAATGGCAAGAAGGTGTCACACAGAGTAGGTCGGAAGTAAAGACGAGGCTCAGAAGTGTTCTTTCCTTTTAAGTGTTTTTATTTGAAGATTTTTCTGGCTCCCTTACAAGGACCCTCATGGCGGGGAGAGGAGGAATCAAGGTACTTTTGAAAATTGCAGATGCCAGGAGAGTCCTTAAGTACTTCTGGAAGCATCAACTCTTGCTAGTATTGTTGAGTGAAGGAGATGGGAAACAGGGTTAGTTAGGGGATGGAAGCGTTAGATGATTTTGAAATTACTACCCACCAGAGACATATAGAAGTTTGTTGGGGGTGAGGGACATCATTTGACCTGTTTTCTTTTAATTTAAGAAAAAGAGAGAAAAGGGATTCTGGTTTTTGCTTTTGTTTTGTTTGATCTGAGAAGCACCCTAGCTCCAGTTGCTGGATCAGAGAGTGTGATATCCAATGTTTCCATCCACCAAATGACCCCTGGTTCCACATTAAGATGTGCAGAGATGGGAAATGGGATTTATATTTTGGTTTGTAATCATGGGTTATTAAGTGAAAAAAAATCTAGCCTTATTTCAAATGGAAACCGCCTTTTCTGCAGTGTTTTAACAGTTTCCTCGGTTGCTTGTCCTTCTGTGCCTGAAAGCAGTACTGTGTCATTTTATCACATCCAGCAGCCACTAGTCTTGAGACCTCGCTCTGAGAGATGCTGTTTTGATCAGTTGTAAGTCTACATGGTCTAAATCAGCGATGCTGAGCCGATGGTCCAAGCTGGTGTTGCTGAGCTGACTATTACATTCAATTAACAGATTCTGTTCACGGAACTGTTCAGCCAAGCCAAGACATGATAACTGCCCCCACTTAAAGCCATCTGACTGTTTTAATGTTTCTTGTAGGATTTTTGAACACATACATGTTATGTGCTTGTAATATTAGATGCATTGAAAGGTCTGTATATCAGGGAATATATTATAAACCAATATATTGTATAATCTGGGTAATAATGTTTTGGGCAGTTCACAGACAAATGAACAATAGATGAAAGATATCAATTCTTGTTGAAAAATGAAGTACTGAAAACTAGAAAACTGAAAGTTATCTGAGATTATTTCCCCCTATATTAATGTAAAATGAGTCTTCTCTGTGTTGTCTGTATTTTTTTTTCCCTAAATGAGTCATCCTGCATTTAGAAGATCATTTATGGCTGCAGATGGCTATTTTTATCATGCACTTAATGGGAAAGAAAAACACTTGTGTTCATCCTGGCCAGATGCTGCGAATGTAAGAAGCAAATCTATCCTGTCTGATAGAAAAAAAAAAAAAATTCGGCTCAGCAGCAACACTTTCCCAACTGTGTCCTTGGGACTGAGAACAGAAATCCACCGAGCCTGCAGAGCCCTCTAATGGCCCAAACCTTAAGTATGGCTCAGAATTTCCCATGGGAAATGCTTTCTTCCTACTCAGAGGACACTATGGAGTCGTAGACCAAATTGCTTTTCTGATTTTCTAATTTTTTTGTCCTCAAAAATAAACTGTTGTAGGACAGTTTGTCCTTTCCTCATCTTCCCTCCCAAGAACTTAAACAGTAAAAAGCAATCCTGTACATGAATCCTTATTATGTTTTAGATTTTATTAATTATTTGAGAATTTAATATTGTATATTTTGGTAATAATTCACCCCTTCTATAATTCCTCCAGAAGATCCACTGGAGAGGTGAGTGTCTTCCTGACCGGCTGGCGGATGCCCCGGAAAGGGAGCACATTCCCACAGAGTTCTGGGTTTAATAGACAGTGGCAGGCATTTCCCTGCTTTACTGATCCATCATAACAATTCAGAGCTGCTTTCCACATGCTGTCTAGCTCTCCCATTATCCTGGTTTCAAGATTTGATAAAGAAATTATTTTTAGTGGAAGCACAGAGCTTGTTTTTGTGTTACCTCTTTCTTCTAGTAATCTGTTTGCTATGTGGGAAACATGATACTTTTGTAGGCAAATACTTGGCAAAATTCTGTATTGGACATTATTAGATATAAATATATATTATTTATTCCTCTTCACATATTTATATAATCTATTTTGATGACAGCCGTCTCCAACAGTCCTTCTTCCACTCCTTCCAGACCCCTCCTACCATTTCTCCCTTCCAACTACATGTTCCATCTTTCCGAAAAACATGGGAATCACTTTTAATATTTAAATTACTGACAAATAAAATGTTTTTGAAAGAACAATGTCTATGAAATTTTAAAAGTATATAAGGAATAATCATGCTGGAAAAATGGAAAGCTAAAAACTAATATTGGAGCGTATATATGATATATATGAGAGAGTTTTGGGCATAAATATTTATATAATATGAAAAGAAGCAATAGGGGCATATATAATATATTATGTAAATATATATTATATGACATAAAAGAAGAAGCAAAATTGTCTAGGAAAAGAAAGAGGCATGTAGCACAAATAATAAAAACCCAGAGACAGATATTGGGGTTCAACCTGAAGATCAGAAAAACGAAGCAGTCAGCCACTGACTCTGACCTCTACCTCAAACTGAAATGGTGATCCTGCCTCCGCAAATCCTTAGTATGACACTGAGCTTGAGAGCTGTCTCTTCCCGTTATATTCCTCTCTAGTGCTGGGATTAAAGGCGTGCACCACCAGCGCCCAGTCTATGGCTAGCTAGTGTGGCTGCTGCGAATAAAGGTGTGTGCCACCACTGCGGGGCCTGCATGGCTGACGAGTGTGGCTGTTTTTCATTGACATTCAGGCAAGCTTTGTTTATTAAAACCCTGATAATATACTATTTGGAGACTAGGAGGGGTGGGAGAAAGAGTAAGGCATATGGGGTGAAAAAGATCAAACTACACTTAATTCAAAAGATGTTTATGAAAGCCTTCACTCCATACAATGAATAGACATCACTAGAAACATAACAGAAGGGACACATAACTGAAGTAAAAAAAAATGTTTTGAGTTTGATTAAACTGAAAATTCCTACATTTTAAAATAATGTACAAGAATGATAAAAATCTATCCCTAAGTACTAAAAATAACTTAGTAAATGTAGTTTTTTTTAAATTTATTTATTTATTAAAGATTTCTGTCTCTTCCCCGGTAAATGTAGTTTTAACCTAGATAATAAGAATGCATTATTAATTTAAAAGGGAGCCCACACAGTAACACACAAGCAGCTTTTCTAAACAACAAATGTAGGATGTTAAAGTATTACCGTTACACCCTCCCAGCTGTTCGTGTATTTCTGTATTCGGAAGTTTGTTTCTTTGATCAGTAATGAAAACAATTCCCATCTTCAAAACCTTTCTGCAGCCACTTCAACTTTATGTTGCATGTTCCTCCACTGATGTGATCTTTCAATTTCTATACAACAAAATGTTCAAAAATGAAACATACCAAATATCAAAAACATGTTACTTGACTCTGTGAAAGTGCCCCCAATTCCTCCCACTGTGGTATAGTATATGGAGACCTGGTCTCAGTTTTGCTCTTTTCTATGTAGCTTGAGCCCAGGTTTACCTAACTTCAAGTCCATGCTGTTTTCCTGTGTACCACTGCCACAGGTGAATAGATACTAATGCTTAATATAGTCTTACAATTCTTACCACACACACACACACACACACACACACACACACACGAACACATACAATGATAGGATAGATCATATGATAACTAAATCAGGAAATGGAGTATTAATTCCTGATGAGAAGCAACTGAAGTCAAGGGTACATTTCAACTCACTGTTTGAGAGACAATGTATCATGATATAGAGGGGATAGTAGCAAGAATACAAGATGGATGGTCACATTGAGTCCACAGTTATGAAGGAAAGGGAGGATAGGAAGGGGGCAGGCTATAAAACCTAGAACCTCCTTCTAACACTTCCATATAAAGTTTCCATATTCCCAAAAATGTGCCATCAGGTGGAGACCAAGGGTTCATACACTGAACATCTAGGGCACATTTCATATTTAGCACACAAATGAGAATCACCAGGAGGATGGGAAAGGTGAATTCAGTAGAATTCATTGGTTCCTTCCTATCTGTGTTTTAGAATCATAGAGGTATACCACAGCAGTGGGTTGTGCTAATGGGCTCAATGCTCACTACATCTTATTATTTTTATATTCATCTGTGTTTTTTATCTGTGCATTTTCTGATATCCATTGTTTGAGATAACCAAAAAAGATATTTCTTTTACCTGTGTGGCATTCCGATTCCTCCCCTTGATGGAAAATCTGACCTGGAATGTGATCTGGGGAGTGGGTTATGTGTGGTTAGACTTTATCACTGCATTGGATGAAGCCCTGACGTGACTAGGGGCATATCGGTGAGACATCCTGCCTAGCTCATTCCATTAGTTCCTATCCATCTGTCTTAACAGAATGAAGTCCTAGAGGTGAAGAAGGAGGAGACTTTGCTGGATCTGGACTTTGACCCTTTCAAGCCTGATTTGACTCCTGCAGGTTCTGCTACAGCAGCCCACTCCCCCATGTCTCAGGTATAAAGTGAGTGTGGGAAGTTTAGGGATGAGAAGCCTTCATTATGCCTGGCGCTCACTGTGCCTTCCAATTGAGGGTTATCTATTTTTTCGTTTTGGTTGAAAATTATTTCCTACTCATAAGGTATAGAAATAACACTTTATTAGTACCAAATATTTTCTATTTCTCCATGCCATTAGCCTTCTCCTGCCAGCCCAGATGTTTGCCTCGGAATTGGGTCTCACAGGGTCGTTCTCTCAAAGGCGTGTGGGCTCTAATACTATGCCTCGTGCCTTCCCTAAACGAAGCTCTTTTGGTGTCCTTTTTGCACTACTTCCTTTCTCATACTTTGCAAGGCACGGTTTATTTGAATAACCATCAGACCCTCCTCCATCGAAATGTGTTTGCAGCCTAGATAGTTGCGAACTTGAAGTTGCCCTTGTGTTCATTGTGAAGAACCCTGCTCTGGTTCCTGACCATGGATGTGGAGTACCTTGGCTCTTGTGCTTGCTCTTGCTCATCACTTCCTTACTCTGTAGTTCCAACTACTTCCTGTAGCCTTTGTAATAAGATTCTCTGTCAGAGGGATCCTTGCATTGGGTGCTTTATAATGAAATCATCAGTAGTGAGTGCACATCAGGCATGCATTAACATGTTTTAATGGGTACCTACTACAATAAGCGTGACTGCCAATTAATCTGTATGTTCTGTATCCCAGTTATATTGGAGCATATTTAAGGATCTGTTTGCCATCAAACTGGTCATAAGATATATTCTTGAGATAGTAGGAAGAGGCAAGCACATCGGTTAAGTATTAAAGTCTCGAAATCTGCATTTCCTCAATGATATGCTAACCCCTAGTGTTGGAAAGCATTTTTTGTTGTAATGATGTGTGTATAGTGAAGTACCATACTTACTGTAAATCACTGTCAGTACCAAGCAAGCTAGTCTAAAGAGCAAAGGCAGACGGCTTAGATCCCTGCTGTTCTCGTGGTATCTACATGTGGCTCAAACTAAGTGAAGTTATATAAAATTTAAAGTTTGCTTCATTTAGACTAGCACATTTCAAGTTCTTGATAGCCACATGTGAAGTGTGTCCACCAAAATAGGTAATGGAATTAGAGTGTTTCTGTTATCAAAAATGGGCCTAGGAAAGAGTGCTGTTCTAAATGTCACATGTGTGTGACATTGCAACTCTCCCTGGCATCTTTATTTTATTACTAACTATGGACTTTTACTCATAATGTTTTTCTTTGTTTTCTTTTAGACGTTGCCCTGGGACTTATGGACGGTAAGGCATTGAGAAGTAATTTCACATATTCTGATCAAAAAAAAAAAATTGGAAACCTCAATATATGCTTTTATTTATGAGAAGAAGAAAGCCCATACATGTAATGATAATGTATTACCATAGAAAAATACCTGAAAGTTGTGAGCTTTTCCCAAATCCAAAAAAGCCTAGTAGAGAAATGTGTGTCAGTGGTCTACATTGCTGAACTGGTAGGGATCAAGACAATGGCATTGTGCTCTTTGTGTCTTCCTGTGGGAGATGATGACCAAAAGTGCTGTCGTAATGGAAGGCTCTTAGGTGTGTGGTACTCTTAGATAGAATCATAACACAGTGTGGATGAGAAAATCAGAGGTGATAACAATTTTTTCATCATTATATTCAATTAAGTTTGGTTAAAACATTTGGAAAATTTGAGCTAGACAGCTGTGGATTTGTGTTCAGACACTAATTCTTATAATCTTGTAAGTGTGATAAATTTCTATAATTCTATAAGTATCATCTTTTCTCATCTATAAAATAAAGATAATGATCCCTACCTCAGAGTGCTGTGAGAAGCTTAAGAAGTGTATAGTATTTAGCTCAGTATGTGATATGGATCAACAAAAGGTAGCTATAATTATAGTGTTGTTTTATAAAGCTAACCTGATGTGCAAGGTTGAATATTTTTAGAATTTAGACTAGGGAGAAAGAGGGGGTGGGGAGGGAAAGAAGTGACCAGAACTTTGTGGTGTTCATTGGCATTGCAAATTTAGGAGACTGGTGACCCCATGTGAAGCCTGACATTCCTTAAGGCAAAGTCTTAGCCTTTAAAAAACTCTGATTGTGAATTCTTCAGAATTATACCGGAGTTTAGTAAACTGCAGCAGACACATTCAATAGATATAACTATTATTTGTGGACACAGTCTTCAGAAGTGGTATTTCTTCTTGCTTCCTAAAAATAAAAAGGATGGTCATCCTCCTCCCTAGAGTTTATATTCTATTTTTTAGGATCCTTGAAAGAGATCAAGATCACAGCTAACAGTGTTGGTTGAAGGCATGCATGACCACCAAGTCAATATGTTTAACATGGATTTAGTGTTACTTGTATACTTTCTAAAGGGGGGATGGGGTGATATTCAGGGTACTAGAGTTCTAACTTCAACTGTGTGTTACTTTTATTGTTAATTATGGGAATAATACTAATCTTGGTAATCCCAAAATTTCATAATTTTAATTAGAATTATGACACATTTTCTTCCCTCTCTAAAAGGAATGCAGAGAGAGCAGAGGTACCTCTATAAAAAGCTTTTCTCTGCTTCAGAGGACAGACCTGCTAGGAATAGTAGTCATAATAAAAATGGATGAAATCGTGGCTTTCTGACATACTGCTGTCATTCATAGTTCTGTCTACTCTAAAGGGTATTTTTTATGTGGGTTGAAAATGGCTTCTAGGTTGAAGGAAGACTATCAAGAGAATCCTCAAGGTAGTCATGTGGTTAATAAGAATTTATTCTCCATTCAACACAAGCCTCAAAGATAGACCCTAGTGAAGAATGAGTTTGACATTTTGCTCCTATGGAGCCTATGATATGGAATACTTTCTTGATATCTGTGCATTCTGGTGGTCTCAGACTTGCATGTTCATTTGGATAATCATTTTCATTTCATGGTCTCCTGAGGTTGAAATTGTGAACTAGCCACAAAACATCCTCCCTGATGCTAGAGATCAGCACAGGCTCTTTGTGCTTCATTTGTGCCTCTTCCACAATTGTCTTGAAGAAATTTTAGGACAAAAATCATTTTTATAACAAGTGGTAAAATTTAATTCCCGTACAGTAAAAGCTACAGCATTCATAAGAATGTTGTGCCTGGACAGAATGAGGCATTGACCAGTGAAATGTTTCTCCTTTTTTACTTTTTTCTCTCCCCTCTTTCAGACAACCACTGATTTGGTACAACCGGTAAGTTGATTTTTATAAGATTCTAGATTTTAAAGATACCTAACATTTATACATATGTAATTTTTTTGGTAGACTGACTTCTCTCCGTGGCATTGCTAGTTCTAGATTGACCTTAAGTCAATTAACTCTAGTGTTTTTTTATTTTTATATTTATTTATTTGTTTATATTTGTTTTTGAGACAGGGTTTCTCTGCCAAGCATTTTTTAATTTTATTTAATTTTATTTTTTGTTTTGTTTAACTGGTACTACACTACTGAAGAGCTGTAGGTTTTTCATCAAATATTTCATGGTCTGTTTCATCTTTCTCTCCCCCCTTTGCTTTTCTACATACTTTAAAGACTGACTCTTCCAAAAGTCTTTCTATGTGTAACCTCATCAGAGACGAAACTCCTGACAGTGGTTTGGCTGAAGAGCTTCAAAGACCTGAAACTATAGGTGCATTTACTTGGGGCCCTCATGCTAGAACAGACAGTGTCAGCCAGGAGATGACCCCAAGTGGGTCTCAAGAAGACATAGTCTGTCCCTCTGGAGTAAAGCAGGCCATGAGATTATCCACCGAAATGCTTTCTTCTACCGACCATTCTAATATAGCTGAACAGGTTGAGGATGCCCTAGGACCAGCCCCTCCAACTAGAAATGAACAGCTGTCCTCAGAGCCTGTGCCTGGGGCTGGAGTTTCTATTACTGCGTACATGGAGATGAACCAGCCATATGCAGCATGTGACTCAGAGAAGCCGGTTGTGGGAACAACTGACCTGCTCAAAAAAGGTGACGAAGAAGCTAAAGTATCAGATGAAGAAATAAAGCAGAAACAGAAAGTAGAAGATCCTATGTGGAAATATGTGGACACAAATCAAAAGGTAGACACTGAAGCTATTGATACCAAGGCACTAGAAGATACTGAGGGATATGAGGAGAAAATTTGTGATTGTCTAGGAAATAGAACACATCATCTCGAAACACCAGCAGAACAAGGTCAGGAGACCTTCAAAAGGCATGAAGTGGGAAGTAGGAAAGATCTAAGGGTGGAAAGTGAGGAAAGACTAAAAATCTATGAAAATTATTTTGAGGAAGCTGATGTACTCGAAAGAGACAAGGAAAGAGTATATGTGGCAGATAAATTTAGTGACAGAATCCAGGGATTGTCCGATGAGATTCAAGTAAAAAACAGTCATCACAAAAATGTAGAAGGCTCTGAATCTACACCTGCCCATCATACAGAGATCTGTAATCTGCCTCTCCAGACAGACCCTGTGTCTATTATTAAAGATTTGAGCATTGAAGAATGGGATTTAACTAGAAAAGAGATAGAGAAACATTCATCAGGCCCGCACACCCATGCCACAAAGCATTATCCAGCACAGGGAAGTTCAGGTGTAGAAGAAATTCAGTGTGGCATTGTAGTCAGTGCTCAAGGAGCTGAGGGGCTTAAGAATCAGGATGTTGTTTTATCATCCAAATATGCAATGGTAGATGAGTCTGGAACTGACCCTTACTCTTCTCTGGGAACTCTTGCAAGTGGAAAAGGGCAGTGCTCATATAAGAGGAAAGATTCATCAGCAGGGAGCTTTGCAAGTACAGGGCCTGGAAACCCTCGTCATGCCATTCAATTGCCAAGAACTACAAAGACAGATTCTTGGGGAACAGATGCAGGTCAAATCTGGCAGCCAGACTTGAATTCAGGAGCAAATATTGTGAATCTAGTGGGAGTCTCTGGTATTCCAGATGGCCAAGCAAGTAGGCTTGCCAATTGGCAGGAATCTAATAGCCACTGGTCCATCAGAGATATAGAAGGTCTACATAATTGCTGGGGACATTTAGCAGAAAGTCAGAAAGGACTGGAGGTGGACTTACCAGCAGATGTATGCAGGAAACATGTCAGGGCTAGTGACTTGGATCAAAGCCAGGAGACTACTAGACCAATGGCTCAGGGGACCTCCTGGAACACTAGCATGGAGAGCCCTGGTAGTCCCCAAGACAATGACATCAACAACTCAGATTTATCTGAAGATGAAATTGCTAACCAGAGATATGGATTGTTGTACCAAGAAATAGAGGCTGATAAAGATGAGGTACTTACTCTCAAATGTAGTGTAGAGTAGCCAGACTTCCTTAGGTTCTGTTTTCCTTATGTCTCTCACCAACTTCACTCTCCATCATTGATCTCCTTGACACATGTACCTCTTGAAACCTATGTAAACCAAACACAAACAGGTTGACAAAAAAAAAAACCAGCAAAAACAAACAACAAAAATACTACATAATGATTATGCTAGGAATTAATGGAGTCTTTCTTACTATTCCACTTTCTGAGTTATTTTTGCTACTTTCTTTTCCTTTATTCCCCCCCCTTCTTTCTTTCTTTCTTTTTTTGTTTGAACACTAAAATGTGCTAATCCATAAGCAACACAGATTTATTTACTGGTGCTAATCTGACTCCATTAATGAAACATGAACTGTTTCTACCCAAGCTCATTAAAACTGTAGAATCTTAGTTGATGTTCATTAAGTTGACGGATACAAATGACTTAAAAGAGATACTAACACCCATGGTTCTGGCCTAGAATCATTTTCCCATTATTGAGAACGTCAGTGTTGGCAAACATTGACCCATATGTAAGCAACAATTGTAAAGCAGATCTTCCACTTTTTTTGTCAGCCTATTTATAATAATACAGCATGGCTTTTTGTAGTTCCTAAGTGTTTTCAAGCAAAGCAAGCTGTTGTATTATTTTTAAATTTGTGTGTTGTAGTCGTTAGTCTCCAACTTGCCTAGTAGATATTCATTCATCCTATGGAAATGTTGGTAAAAAAAAAAATCACACCCGTTTTCCCATTTTCCATTTCCTTTAGGCTTCTGGAGGTTCATTTAATGGCTTTACCCAGGTAAGGTGAATCTGGTTCCTTACAAGAGCCACCTGCTAGAATGTTTGAGTCTTTCCTGCGGGAGTTTTGTATCATCACTGCAGCAAAATGATTAAGAATGTCCGTACAAAATTTGATCTCACTACTTACAACTAACTTGAGGAATGGAGATAGCATTGTGGCGTTGTTGTGATGAAATGAGCTGTTCTTGCTATGAGCTGAACCCAGTGACCCAGCACTTGCTAAGTGCTTTATAATGCTATGCCAACTTTTCTGCTAGTCATTAGAAGTAATTCCAGTATGAAAGATTTTCTTGACTTGGCTACTGGAAGAGGAGATAAGATTATTTTTACTAAGATGATGGATATTAGAGATGATGGTTTTTAGAGATCCTTCTAAAATGTCATAGTGAGCCACACCATGTACAGCCATACCTTTAGTAATTTTCCAGATAAGAGCCATCTGAAGATAAGGAACCACACTCCAGCTCTTTCCAAGACATCAGTGGTTCCTGGACATGTTCTGCTAGCACAGATTAATGTTTAGAATAACTCATGTTAACACTAATTTGGTATTTTTTAAACGATTTAAAGGGGGACATTCAAAAACACCAACTGATACAACTGATGGCTTCTAGTTTAAATAGTATAAGCAGAGACTGCACTTTCATTTCCCGGCTGCCCAGACCCAATTAATCACACAGAAACTATATTAATTACAACACTGTTTGGCCTATTAGATCAAGCTACTTATTAAATAACTCTCACATCTTAAATTAACCTATTTTATTATTTTTTTATTTTACTGTGAGGGTTGTGGTTTGTTACCTCTTGCTTCTTGGGCAGCTACATGGTGTCTACCTGACTCTGCCTTCTTTCTCCCTGCATTCAGTTTAGTTTTCCCACCTATCGCTCTTCTGCCCTGCCATAGGCCAAAGCAACTTCTTTATTAAGCAATGGTAATAAAATTTTTTTATAACATACAGAAGAGAATCCCACATCATCTCCCCTTTTCTGTCTAAATAGAAAAGAAAGTTTTAACTTTAGCATAGTAAAATTACATATAACAAAACAGATATCAAACAAGAATTACAGTTACGATGTTTCTTTATATGGCTAAAGTTTTATATCTAATTTATCTTTTATCATAACTAAGGAAAACTATAACTATCTGACTTCAGCTCCATCAAATACCCCAGAAGGATATGTTACCTAAGTAAAGAGGAAATTCATTGTAAGCAACTTCCAAAACTCTAGAATTCACAGAGACATCTCACTTCCTGGATAGTCATCCAAAGTCCTTCTTGCCCATAGTATCTGGTAGCCTTTTTTATGAAGCAGGAAATTTGAAAGACTGTTTTGTCTATAATGACAGTTTGTCAGTTGCTTTCTTCTGTGTCCTGCATAATGTCTGGTTAATGAAGTAAGTCACAAAACAATCCCACACCAGTTTGGAATTATGATTAATATAAGGGTTATTTATTTAAAGGGAAAAAACATACAGATCACGATCCTAGACAACAGCCTCCTGCATGACCAGGAATAGTGTCTGATAGCCAGAAGTGGAATCTGAAGCAAGAGAGTGAGTGGAAGGCTACTGCTGCTTTTTTTTTTTAAAGCAAAAGATACCACACCCCAGTGGGCTGGTATCTCAAAGGCTATTGGCTGAAGGAGCAAAAGTAGCTCCGCAGCACCTGGCAGTTTCTTCTGTGAAGCAGGAACCTGAAAGACCATCCCATCTTTTAGAAAGTTCATCAGCCATTTTTCTGTGGGTCCTGCATGACCAGTTCATACAGTACACCATCAAGCAGTCAAGCAATGGCAATTTCCTGCCCAAATGACTAGCCTTGTCACACTGAAGGCAAATTCCATAACAAGTTCCTTCAATGTCCATCAACCTCTCTGAAGTAACTGGTGCTGCCAGAAGCAGACATGCCTCACTGTCAAGAAAAGTCTAAGTTTGTAAAATCTTTTAAATGCCATATTCTATAGGTTTTGGAAGTATTGAGATTATTTAGCTAACTGAAATATATCTCTGTATATCTAGAAAATCTAACATAATTAAAGTTTGATTATTATAGATAACTATCTATTAATCTATGTTTCATAACTATATATTACATTTTTAAATGAGCTGCACAAACACAATACTTTAAACAAGAGCAGAAATACATATATACAGTGTAACAAAACTGACTTTAAATTTGTATCAATAGAACAATATTTATACCAATGCAAGTATTCATCTCTATATCATTTCCCCCTTAATTTTTTAGAAATTGAACTGTGACCATTAACTACTTATAACCAACCCCTTTAAAATGAAAATAAACATTTATAAACAATCATTTTGGGAATTTAGGTGCAGTTTTCTCCAAACTGCTTCCTGCTGTTTGTTAGGCAAAGTATTTTTAGGATTCACTGAAAACTTTTTTTGGGGGGTGGGGGTGGGGGAATTCTATCACATTAGCCTGGAAAGAATCCTGTGGAAACGAAAACAGAACCTCTTTTTGCAAAGTAACATATCTTTAGACTAAAGTTTTGAAGTCAAGATACCTTTAAAATATATATGTTGGTTTAGCTTACCAATTCTAAGAATCAAATGTTAACTCATTAATAGTCAAAAAATTCAAAGAAAAAACAAAAAATATACATAATCCGGACTCTCTGTGTATATTCCCTCTTTGCATGGCTTATTTGTTTATTCTATTACTTTTTAGTATTTGTTAACTTTATTCCTTTAATCTGTGGCTGTCTATACTCTTTCTTCTCTCTCTCCTAAGATGTACATTTATCCAACACTGTGACCCATTTAGAGGTCCTTTTGTCTGAATTTGTCTTTACTGTGTATCTGTAATGCTTTTTTGACCAAGAGTTCTTTTTAAAAATGTGAGGAGAATGGCTAGGACTAACACTTTGGCTATTCTTTTTGGCTTCGCCACATCCCACATGGCAGAATTGTTTGCCTCCAGCTCTGTGAGCCATGCTCATTGTACCAGCTCCAGGGATGCAGCAGGTCTGTGTCACCACTAAGCAATTTGTAGCACTCTGCTCACAAATTCCACTTAATTCTCTGTAGCAGGACCTCTCAAAAGAGCCAGAACTGTTTATGCCACCAGTATGAACCAGGAAGCCATATCTTAAAGAAGCCGCACCTCTGCTTGAGCCAGTGAGCAGAGCCTATCTAAAAAAAATGTGGTTACCAAGAAGCTCCAATTCACTCCCACTTTTGTGGGTCTAGAAACCTTTCTTAAGCTTTCTTAGGCTTTATGTGAATGTATGTTGCCAAACACTGGGTACCAATAGTGAGCATAGACTGTGCTTTCATTTCCCAGCTGCCCAGACCCAAACAATCACACTTAAACTATATTAATTACAACACTGTTTAGCCTATTTGGTCAGGCTTCTTATTAACTAACTCTTTTATCTTAAATTAACCCAGTCTATTATTTTATATTTTACTGTGGGGCTCATGGTTTGTTACCTCTTGCTTCTTGGGCAGTTACCTGGTGTATGACTGACTCTGCCTTCTTTCTCCCTGCATTCAGTTAGTTTTCCCACCTATCTCTCTTCTGCCCTGCCATAGGTCAAAGAATCTTCTTTATTAACTAATAGTAATAAAACATATTCATAGCATACAGACGGGTATCCCACATTGAGATAGCTTTTTAAAGCTTTCTCCCTCTTTTCAGCCCCAGGAAACTTCATTATTCACCATGCAGGCAGATCAGAATATGGTAGGTGGCTTGGTAAGTTGATGTGAATGTATTTGGGGACAGTTGATAGTTATCATGGGATATTTGAAAGTTAGTTGGTCATACTAGCTCCTTTGGAGTGTTAATTTTACAGAAAATGATTTCTACAGCTCCCTCTTTGCAGAAAGCAAAAAGAAAACCACCTGTAAAATCAGACTTTAACCTTGTTTACCACTGACACAGTGTCACAAGCAGAAACCAGCTTCCTGTGATACTTACGGTCCTCAGTGGAACACAATGAATCCATCAAAGTCACAGGTCACTATGTGACTATAACTTAAGGTATAGGATTGAAAATGAGTTTGTCTTAAGAATTTATGGATCAACTAATAGATCATTGCCTTTTCCTTTCTTGATTTGCATACTGGAATGATCCCTTCATTTTTAGTGTAAAATATACTTATACACTGAAAGATCACAGAACTGTGTGTCCTATAGGTTATTCTTGACTCCTACCTGGCAAAGTTGGACTTTCAAGAGATATTCTCTGTGTCACTATGTCTCTGTTTCTGTGTCTTTTTTCGTGTCTCTCTTTCTGTCTGTCTGTCTCTATCTCTGTCTTTGTGTCTTTCTTTCTCTCTCTTCCTCTCCCTCTCCACACAACAGAAGAATCATTTCAGGTTCTCTTACATTTACCATAGAGACACGAAGGTAAACTTTTACAGATAAATGCAGTGGTAGGTGTTTGCCCGACTTTAAAGGAAACCATTCTGGAGGCTGTTCTAAAGAAGCTGAACACAATTCCACTCTGTGATTCCTTAGTTCTGCAAGGGCCTATGACTCCAGATGAGAGAATTTATTTCTCTAGAATGGATTTAATAAAGCTGGCTGCCTGCTCTGAATGATGATGAGATTCTGGATTCTCCAGTATGCTGCAGTGGTGCCTGCTCACATGTCGAATCTCTTTTTTTCCTTCTTACCCACAAATAACTTCAGGCTGAAACTGAACAGGCGCTATCCATGGAGCCCCAAGCTGAGGAGCCTCCTGCCACTGCTGCTGCGCCTGCTGCCGGGCTGGACCTTGGACTGGAGATGGAGGAGCCAAAGGAGGAGGCAGTGGTGAGCCCATGCCCTGCCCCCTCCATCCACTATGCTGCTTCTTTCCACCTTCTCCCATGATCCTTTGTTCCACTTCCTGTCCTGGCTTCAGCTAGGATAAAGGACTCCTTTGTCTGCCATGGTTCCCAGGATAAAAGAGCTTTCTCTTTTTTTTACTTTCATAGTAAAAACTCAATTCCCTGACATCATCATCATGATAAATATATAATAGGATAATTATTATTATTATTATTATTGAGATTATACCAAAGAACTGATCTTATGGATTAGGGAAACTTCCATGTAGCCATAGATGTGGCTCTCCAAAACCTGCCTCTATGTTTATGTGTGTGAGTGTGTGTGTGTGGTTGCATGTGTCCATGTATGTGTGGAGAATTCAGACATCAGATATTTTCTATAGCTTTCCATTTTGGCTTTTGATACATGAGCATTTACTGACCATTGTGCTCACTGACTGGCTAGACTCTCCATCCATCCATCCATCCATCCATCCATCCATCCATCCCTGGAACCTGCCTGGGAAAAATACAACTGAATTCTTGACCACTGCATGTATCCACACAGACACTCGCACACTTCAACACAGAGGGGAAAATGCAACTCAATTATTGACCATTGCATGCATCCACACATACATTTGCTCACATAAACACAGGACGAGGAAAAGTACAACTGAATTCTGGATCACTGTTAAAGAAAACATTTGTTTTGAGATGAATGTGACCAATACCAGGAAGGTAGAACGATGATGATTTAGATTTTGAAGAAATCATTTGATTCTGAAAAGTGCTCATCAAATTCCCACTTTGAATGTCAGATGGCTTCTTCTCCATCTGTGCCTTTGTACTTCATTGGTCTCAGGTTCCAGAACAAAGCTTAATTCCACAAAGCCCATGACATTGAACTGTGGGGTGGAAACATGAAGGAGAGAAGCCAACACCCTAAGCCCAAGCACTGATGCAGGTTCTCTGTAATCCCCTCTCAGGTTATCGAGATCACCCACTCTCTCACTCATCCAAATTTTATACTTCTGCAAGCAGGTTTTTAATACATTTTGATTAAAATATAATTACATCACTTAGCCTTTTCCCTTTCCTTCCTTCAGTCCTTCCCATGTCCCCTTCCTCCAGACATTTCCATGTCGCCCCTCAAATGGGTAGCCTCTTTTCTTTAATTATAATTTACATAAACATATACACAATTACATAAATACAACACACTGAGTCCACTTTTGCTTGTGTGTATATGATTTCAAGTCTGACCACTTTATATCAGGAAACCAAAGGAATCATCCCAGCGAGAGGTATTTTCTCTTTCTCTCAGCTGTCGCCAGTTCTTTGTCTATGAATGAGACTCCTTGGTATTTTTTTCCTTCTACTTGTGTTTTTATATGATAGCCTCCATCCTTTTTTAATGAATAGCTTCAATGAAGAACATTGGGGTTCCAGATAGGCTTAAATCTCTGATAATATCAGGACTTTCCACAATTAGTTCTTAGACTTAAGAGATGTCCCTGGGGAGTAGCTGAAAAATCAGAACGAAACAGCAGCTCTTGTTCAGCCTCAATCTTGAGCTTCCCAAAGGCAGTGTTTTCATCCATTCTTCTGGCTGTAAAGCAGTTGTCCAAGGGGGATGTGGCAGCAATGCCCTAAGATGGGAATGCATGGAATGAGCTCTTTAGCTATAAAAAGCTGGTGATGAGGAAATCACTTTACCCTCTGCATCTGTTTCTCATTTCCCCCCCAATGAGCTTTAAAATGTAGAAACTTTCAAATCCCTGCAGTGTGGTGAAAAAAATCTTGTTTACAGCTGTTTTCCACCTGCGTTTAGTAGGCAAGTGAGGTGGGATATGGGCATGGGGTAGTTCACTCCGTGATGCCACTGCTGTTCCAAAGCCATGAGGTCAGTGGGCTGCCAGTGGGTCTTCTCAGTGTGATGCTGTGCTGCTTTCTCCTCCAGTTTCAGGTCACACACTGCCATCTGTCAAGCCTCAGGCTACTCTAAGACATGTACATGGTCAGGGCTGGGATATTTGCCCATAGAACATGAAAATATTCAAGTGATATCCAGCCCAGTCTTCATTTAGTCTCAGGCAGTGCCTGGCACCTTTCCTTCAATTCTGTCATACTGATCCACGGCCCACACAAGAGGCTTGCTGCTGCTCTCCTTTTGTTGACAATGTTTAGAGTCAGAATCTTAGTGTGGAGGTTGGCTTGTCACTTACTTATGTAGCCCAAGCTGTCCTCCTGCCTCAGCCCTCTAAATGTTGGGATTGCAGGCACTTGCCTGACTTGCAAAGACATCTTTTTAAAAACCTTCTCCGGGCTCCAGTGCTTTTTCCCTCTCCCATGACTGAAGTTCAGGATTCAAAACCAAACACTGATAAATAAAATTAGGTAAAAGTCTCTTACAGACTTTGCAAGCCCCATGGAAGAAGCCTGTTATGATTGCTTTCCAACCACTGCTTGCTCATGCTCACATTTCTGAGCAAGCACAGTGTACAATATTTACCTTGGCTTTAAAAGCTACACCTTTTTCTAGTCATTTTGCAAATAGACCACTAATTGAAACTTTTAATGCCGAAGGGTATCATTATGAGATACTGTGTCCTGTGCTTAAAGCCAAATTAACAGCAACAAAAATTCATTAACTTTGGCATCTCTGCTGAAGATGATTTTCAAAGAAGATGTGAAGCTAATTTTAATAACTGTTTCCCATGGCAACAGTGATACATTTGGTTGAGTTGGACTATAAAGCCAGCTGCTTAGGGCTTCCGATGGGACTGCAGGAAAGATTAGAGTAGCAGCCTGAAAGCTGAGTGAGATGGAAATGGGGGAGGAAGAATCTTATTACTTTTTGGAAGAAAATACATGAGGAATATGTGAGCCAAATTTGCAGTACCAGGCACCACTTGGAAAGAAATGGCCATAGAGTGTGGGATTCCAAGCACAGCACTCTCCTGTAGTCTTGTTGGAGGGGAGCTGCAGTGAGCAGTGTTTTAAGCACCTTTTGTGTGAAGAAGCGTACCAACTGCCACCCTATTTCAAAGTACCAGAACCTTCTCTGTGGGGCTATAATGATCTCTTGTAGATCTGCCTCTTGACTTTCTCTTTAAAATAGAACCTGAAGAAAATATTTAGTACTTAATTTTAACCTTTTAAATTTAGATAAGTTTAGAAATTTATAAAAATGAAAGCATTTCCAGCATTATCAAGAGCTCTGGTTGGAGCCTCGTTTAGGGACAGTTAAGAAAAGGCAGTGATGGTCTGTGGTTGGGACTTCCACTGCTTCTGCCCCTTTACTACTTCCCTCTGTGATATTGCACAGCCAGCTACAAGAGGGAAGTAATGGTTCACCCCAGCCCTCTCTCCTTTCACTCCATCTCATTCCTTCATTTAGACAATGAGAACACATACCTTCCACCTTTTGGATGGCATTAATTCTTAGCTGGTGAATATACCTGTGACTAGGGCCCTATTCCTAAATGCTGTCTTTACTGCAATGGAGAAATCCAGGCAAAGATCAATAGGCCTTTTGCACTTTCTCACTCTGTACATAATTTTCTAAACAGTGAAACCTAGAAGATAATTGTTAAAAACAATGTAGAAAAGTTCTACACAACTGTTCTAGTTTTATTCTATTGCTGTGATAAATACCATAACATAAACAACTTTAGGAAGAAAAGGATTTATTTGACTCAGATTTCCATGTCACAGTTTATCATTGAGGGAAGTGAGAATAGGAACTAAAGGCAGAAACCATGAAGCAACACTACTTGCTGGCCTGCTTGTTCAGCCTTATGCTTAGCTGGCTTTGTTTTACAGTCTATGAGCCCCTGTTTAGAGAATGGCGCTGCCCACAGTAGGCTCATCCCTTGGACAATCAAGACAGTGTCTCTACAGCCATGTCAACAGACCAATCTGATCTAGGCTATTCCTCGATTATGGTTGCCATCTAAGTGGTGTCAAGTTGACAAATTAAAACTAACTCTGACGCCAACTAGCCTCTTCTTGATTTCTGTTTGTTACAAAATTTGCTGTTGATTAGAAGACACTTTGTGCCATGTCTTTGCTTGTTCCCAAATAGCACAGGCAGCAGGAAAAGGTCATTTAAAGAATGGCATTCCAAGAGCATAAGGATACACATCAACTGCTTGGAAGGGAGCATACTTAGAGTCCTCTTCCAGTATGGCTGCTTTGAGAGCTAGCACCACAGTTTCTGTAGTTGGTGCTCCAGTTCTCAGGACTGCTACAAAACTGCCTACTTTAGATGTTTATATTCTCCGGTACAGATTAGTATGACACAAACACAGAATTTCGTCAGATCATTCCAAACTTTGTTTACTGGTTGAGCAGGTTACTTTTGCTCTTTAGATCTTAGTTAACTTCTAGGAATAATGGGGAAAAGCTATAATAGAGATGTTAAGAGAATAATATGCAATAATCATAAACTTCTGTGATGGTACGCAGAGACTTTTGGATTCACAGTAATGCAAGTTTCTTACCCAAGATGGACATATAAAAATAAATTGACAGGAGAAGCCCATCTGTGCATCAGAATTATTATTCTATAGAATCAGGATAAACTGGAAAGCCTAGAGCTCAATGGTCTTCTAGCCAATTGTCTTTATAAAGCAATATGCAAACATATTGTCATATTCTGACTCCAGTAAAAAAATGCCCTGCAATTATCAAAATGTGCCATTTATCCAAAATATGTAATATATACTTTTTATAGTCTTCACTTATCATTTATGCCAGAAATAATATACATAAAATAACTGCATAAGTTAAGAAGGAATGAGAAAACTGAAAACACTAAAAAGTTACAAAAAATAAAATTAACTTTTTATCAGTTCTTCTCTTGTAGTCTTCCACATTAATGCTAAAAGAGAATTTTAACAAAAAGTATCAAAGTTTCTATAGTGCTATATTCTAGAAATGTCAGTTCTAGATAGGAGGCTTTTCTTTAAGCGAAAGTATAGAGGTAATAGAAGTCAAAGCCAAGCCTACAAGGCAGTTGATGAATGTATATGGTAGTGCCTTTCAACCTTAGCAGTGTGCCATGGGATCATGCTTGCACACCTTTGACACACATTTGGGTGATTTAAAGTAGGTGATTGTACACTACATCTTGATAAATCACTAATTTGATAATTCACTACTGCTGTGATATACACCACAACAAAAAACAACCTGGGGAGGAAAGGGTTCTTCATTTGGATTAAGCATCCCAATCACAGTTGATCATTGAGGGAAGCCAAGGCAGAAACTCAATGAGGACAGGAACATGGAGGCAGGAACTAAAACAGAGAGCATAGAGAAATGCTGTTACTGACTTGCTTCTTCCCATTCCTTGCTCAGCCTGATTTCTTATATAACCTAGAACCACCACGTAGAGTGGGCTAGGCACTCTTACATCTGTCATTAATCAAGAAAATGCCTCACAGGCTTGCCTGTGGACCAATCTGATGGAAACATTTTCCCAATTGAAGTGGCTTCTTTCTAGATAAGCCCGGATTGTGTCAAGTTGACAAAATAAAAATCTGAACAAGATAATCTCTCCTGGCTGTTCACCTCAAAGGGGCATCTGAATGTCCCTAGATGGGATGAAAAGTGGAACAAAGGAAATGTTTCTAACATACAGGAACTGCTGAGACATCACCTAATTTAAAGTTACTAAACACAATAGAAATAGTTTGAAAGCAGCAGAGGGCACATAAACCATGCAAAAGAATGAATGGATTGCTTATTAGATAAAACCTCATTTTATCTGGCTGCAAAAATATTAATCAAAATATGGAGAGAAAATTTTTAACTGTCTTCTCTAAGTGAAATCCAAGAAGGCATTGATGAGAGAAAAAAGAGTCAAGGCAAGCCAAAGGAAAGGGAAAAGAAAATGCCATACTAGAGCTAAGATTTGAGTAATAACTGAGAAAGACTAGGGACAACTGTGTAATGGGACCAAGGATCTCCCAGCACAGAGGAAAAACACAGCAAAGGTGAGAAGATTGGATTGGAAAATCAAAAGGAAAAGTCCCAGTTCCTGGACCGTTGCTGATACTCAATGCTGGACAGAGATTTACAGACTTAGGGAGAAACTTGTTATGTTGGATTGAAATTTTCTAATTGAAAGAATCCTTGGGGGTAGATCACAAGAAATCAACCAGGAAGAGAGAGACTACATTTTCTCTTGTGTGTGTGTGTGTGTGTGTGTGTGTGTGTGTGTGTGTAATAATTTGTGCTATAGATATAGTCATTTGTATGTGTGTTCATTTCTGCAACAAATACAGTCATTTATAGATATACAATAAAAAATGAGGCTACTTGGGAAAAGAAAGTGGAATAAAGGAGATGGAGGAGACTAGGAAGCAAATATACAAATATTGTCCAAGTAATATTATACCTGAATGGAAATGCCTATGAAACCCATCACTATGCACAATAAATGTATACTAAGAAAACATCACACATGGACAAGCTAATGACAAGACCATCTAAATTTGTTAAATCTTTAATTCAAAGCTTAAAAAGCTCTGCAAGCAAATACCAGGGAGACCTGCTTTAGACTTACCCTTCGCAAAACAAGGTCAGAAGTTACTAGAACAGCACAGAGCTTCCACAGACATTGTAGCATCTGCTCCAAGCCAGAAACTGACCATTATGAAGAGGGCAAAAGACATTGTCAAAAACATAGCAAAATGAAATCTCCACAGTTACCCTGAAAAAATTATGAAGATATGTTGCAATTGACTCTCAACATGGATTATACAAGCGTGAATAAATGGGTCATTCTGAATGTCTTTATCCTCAGGAGTGAAATTGCTAGCTCCCTTAGCACCTTTACCCAGCATTGTTCATTCCAGTGCTTGAGTGACATTGTTTGCCACCTTTTTATCAGCCCTCTCCTACTTGTTAAGTTCCCTTCATGTGGCAGAGATGAAATGAATCTCTGAGTTCCTGAAGCTGGGGTCCTTACTTCTGAGGATCAGGCAACACACAACAGTTCCTGGTCTCCCCCTGCTGGTAGCTCTTGTCACAGCAGTGGTTGCAGTCAGAACAAGTAGATTCCGTCAACCATGCCTGCTCAAATTACTTAGCCAAAAAAACGCTATGGTATGTTTATCTTGTGGCAGTAAAATAAGATACAGCCACAGACAGACACACAGAAAACAATCACTTTTATAAGCTTATGATTCTGTTTGCATCAAGTGTGTTTTAAAATTACCTTTGGTGTTGCTGGAGAGAGGGCTAAGTGGTTAAGAGTGCTTGCTGTTTCTCCAGGGGACTCATTTCAGTTTCTATCACCTTCTTGGGTTCCTCATGTTCACCTGTAATTCCAGCTCCGGGAAACCTGATGCCCTTTTCTGGCCTCCACAGAAACCTGAATGTATGTGCACATAAAGACACAGTCACACATACACATAAGTAAATAAAATAAAATAAACCTTAAAAAAACCCACAAGTTTACCCTTGGTAATATCATCAATATGCCATAGAAAGTAACATATTTTCTTCTAAGGAAGCAACATTAATTAATTCACTTAAGACAGTACCAGTTACAAACAATATGTGCTGCTCAGAACATACATACATAGAAAAATTTACATAAGAGGAGGTACATGTTATAAAATAGCAAAGTATTCACCTATAGTGTGTGTGTGTGCGTGTGCGTGTGTTTGTGTGTGTAGGCTGGTTTGTCATTCTGCCTGAATGTAGATAGAGCCCATCTTGTTCAAAGCTATTGAAATCATGTTGTTCATAGGTGTGACTTTTGTCCAGATACATGGAAAGCAAAAATAATGAAAAAATAACTAAATAGTTTGCCTTCTGCACTTGAGCCTCTGTGCCACCGTATTCATGTTCTTTGTATCCATAGTTCTCAGTATGGAAGAAAACTTGTTGGGCCTTTAGTACCCCCAGTGAAAATCTATCCCTTCCCTCCCTGTCTCCCTTTCTATCTTTCCCCCTTCCTCCATCCCATCCTTCTTTTTCTTTTCTTTTTCTTACAATACCTGGAGTTGAAACGAAAGCCTCAGCTGGAAGCACTGTACCACCGAGCTCTATCCCAACCTAAAACTGTTTATTTCATGAACAAAAAAAAAAATCATTGAACAATTGCTTGTTATTCTTCTTGGAATTAAGACACCTTCATAAGTTATTGCTAATTATACTTCTTTTGACAACAGTGACAATAACATTTATAAAAAGATCATTGTTTGCTTAAAATGAGAGATGCAATTCTCTCACATTTTAATTTATTTTTGTTGGAATTTTCAGTCCTTCACCAAAACACAAATCTTCATATAACTTTGAACTCATTTCAATATTTACCAGCATTTAAAATTCATTTCAATTAAGTATCAGCTACGGTTCACACAATAGGGCCAATTTTTTGAATCCATGTACTTTAATGACGGAGTAAAAATAAAAGAATTAAGGACAAGTGCTGTGTTTGCACCATTATCCATTTTCTGTGAAGAACCAAATTCTCATAATAGGAGATTCTCATATGAGACATAAATTTCTATGAATGTGTGTCAAATGATAAGCTGTCTTTTATGCCCAAAGTAAAATTATGATATTTAGAAAAAGTCTTTCATAGAAGATTATTTTACGTAATATGGTAGGTATGACTTTGGGGCTGAAGTGAGTTCTTGGAGAATGTCATGTTGAGTGCCTGTGTGAGGTCACATTCCCATACCCCATTTGTGATGCCCGCTGTGAGCTGTTCTCCATCACCCACTTCAGAAGTCGTGTTGGAGAGCTAATGCTTGCAAGAGTATGGCTTCGCTAACAATACTGAGAACAACGCAGAACTAATCCAGTAAGGGAGAGCACTAGCTGATGCTGACCCATCAGAGAGCAACATCAGTGTTTGGAAAATGTGTCCTGGGTATACTGTATAGAATCAGTCGGAAAGTTCTTTCTTGATAGTCTTTTTTATTCTACCTTGTCAAATCAGTCTGCCGTACTGATTATTAGAACCCTCTTAAAGGGTTAGATACTAAACCTATTTGTCCAAATTTAAAACCTGTGGTGGTACTTCTTTTATTTCATCATCTCATATTTTACATACTACTGAAAACTTTTTTGGATTTAGTAAAGACCCCAAATCTGATTGTTACATTTTTTTAGTCAGCAGATGGTTCCATGGATATTTGTACAATGCTGATGCATATTGGATTTCAAAACTTTCCCATTATCCTCTTAATATTCTTTTGGAGGAAACCCCACTGCCACTCCTTTTCCCTGAACATGATTAAGCCTTGAAGCCTTCTCCACACATATGTAGAGGGCAGCCATTCTGATTCTCAGTGTATGATGGGACACCATCCTGCTCTGGTCCTCCTCCATGTGCCAGGTCTCAGAGAAACCCAGGTCCCTTCAGTGTTATAACACAGGGGTTCCCTAAAGCTTAATCCACTGATGTCTGCTTTTATTCAAACAAAAAAGAATAGCCTGTTGAGCGAGATCCATCCCGTTTGCTACCAGTCTCTAAAGAATGGCAAATGTCACCTCTTCCAATGCCATCCATTATACCTGATTGAGGGTGAAGCCAAGGGATGCAGAATCCGTATCATTGGATCCTCTGCGAAAAGTGAGCTCTGATCACATAAGCTTCTGCTGCCCCTGACTCCTGGGATCCTGTCCATGCAAGCAGCTCAATGCTGATGGCCTTAATAGGGGAAGCACACTGGAGTGGTGCTGAAGCCTTGTGGAGACTCTGGAGACACAGGTATAGTAACTTCTCTCTATTTTATATAGATTGCTCCGGGAACTGATGCCGACGAGACTGTGGGAACTACAGTGCCCACTGATGGGGTCCCAGTGGAGGAAGCCAAGGCAGAGAAGGCAGCACTCCCTGCTGCAGAAGGAGAAAGTCTTGACGGAACCAAAGTCGATGCTGAGAGCACTGAGGTTACAAGCAGCGAGAGCCCTCCACCAGCAGAGACTGAGGTGGCTGCTCCCCAGGTAAGGTTTCCTGAAGGACTTCTGAGGAGAGGGATGTTTAGTGGGTGCTTGTCTGTTGGCCTGGGTGATAGCTCTCTCTGTGTGGAATGGACTTCTGCTCCTGATGACTGAAGCCCGGAAGGGGGGAAGGGAAGCTGCAGTCACAATAGAGGGGAGAAATGAGGTGCAGCTGATGAGGAAACTCAGCGGAGAGAGGAAGAAAGAGGGCGATGAAATGGTGAAGCTGTGAGGGTAAGGAAGACCCCGAAGGCTTAGCTCTGTGCCAGCCTGGGTAGGGACTCAGTATGACTTACAATTACCAGTGCTTCGTGTTTACTATTAGTAGAGTATCTCAGAATCCCCACCAGTCTTCTTCCACCAAAGCCAACCCACTTTTTAAGGACATAGTCAGTTGAGCACACACATCAGATTAAAGTTGGCCCTAGCTCTTCCTGTCCCCCTGCAGCTATCAAAGACAACAAATCCCCAGTCCCATGACTTGGAATTACGGACAGTCATGGCAAAGTGTGAGAGTTGTGGAGTGCTCCCTCGTATTTTCCTCAGGGCAGACCCTCTCCCCTTTCGGCCTCCCGCCACTCTGGATCACTCATAGAAACTCCCTTCCCCCATTTTCCAAGCAGTGTGACTGCTCAAGGATCTATATAGGCTTCCCATTAAAGCTTTAGTACTCAGGAGAGACCGTGAGAAAGTCAGGACAAATGTCTGCAGACTTAATGCTTGGAACTGTGGGTTAGGGTTAGTGGGATAGAGAAAGAGTAGATGGTTGGGGAAAGATACTAAGCAAACACACCGGTTGTCTCCCAGGGTGTGACAATATCCACATTCTCTGTCCACCAGGAGAAGGTCATCCCTTCTGTTGTCATCGAGCCAGCCTCCAACCATGAAGGGGAAGGAGAACACCATGAAACCAACGTGGGTGCCACCGAGGATGTGGCTCCGCAGGGCCAGGCTGGTGAGGCGCAGGAACTGGTTACAGAGGCCACACCTTTGGATTCTCAGGCAGCTACAGCTGCACCAGGAGGTGCTGGGGATTCCTCCATGTCTGCAGAGGATGCTGCTCAGGACATGCCTCCTGGCTTTCTCTACAAGGTCTTTATATTGTCACATCAGGGTCATTGTCGTTGTTTCATTGAGTTCCCTTTGCACCACTTTGTAGTTTGTCAGTATGCTATTTGCATTGTGTATTCTTTCTCAAATCTGCTTTCCTTTCACCCTGACATCCCCTGGGAAAATGGCAGCATGTCCATGCTTTGGGCAAGCATGTGCTATGACCTCCCCTGGGAAAGGAAAATGCAGCATGTCCTTGTTTTGGGCAAGCATGCCATACATTAATACCCTTCGTATTTCAAAATAGAATAGTTAAAAGGTGCATGACCTACCCCAAGGTTGTGGGTGGACTAATGCCTTCGAGGCTTCCTTTGGAGCTGAGTATGTCCAAATGGCTCAGACCAGGCCTTTGAAGTCAACTGTGCTCCGGTATGTTCCTGAAGAGTTGCAGGCAGGAAATAGTCATCCAATCCCAGTGCAGATCAAGGGGTGGTAATCAGAGGCTGCTTTTTTGTTTCCTGGCCACCCAGACCTGAATAATCACACAAAACTTTTTTAATTACAACACTGTTTGGCCAATGGCTCGGGCATATTTGTAGCTAGATCTTACATCTTAAATTAACCCATTTCTATACATCTGTGTATTGCCACAAGGCTGTGGCTTACCGCTAAGGTTCTGGCATCTTTCTCCTTTGGCACCTACATGGCATCTGCCTGACTCTGCCTTCTTTCTCCCTGCATTCAGTTTAGTTTTCTTCCTTGCCATAAGCCAAAGTGGCTTCTTTATTAACCAATGGTAATAAAACATATTTATAGCGTACAGAAGGGAATCCCACATCAAGGGGCCAACCAATAGTCCAAAAACAAGTACCTAAAGACACTAAGGGTTTTATGTAAAAAGGACAAAACAAACAAGCCTTCTTTCCTGGGAAGAAAGCTTTTAAAGTCAGAGGCCATCATAAACTACCTCCTTACTAGTCAAGCAAAACAACACAACCGTGATTACCTAGAAACCCCACTTACAACTTACAGTATTGGTGGTAGATAATTACCCAAGAAAAATTTGATTAGAAATTGTATAATTTAATACTGTATTTCAAAATGCAGCCTTTGTTTTTGCTTGTTTTTTTGTTTGGCTTGGTTTTGATTTTGGTACTGAGAGGAAACTCAGAACTTAGGGCATGCTAAGCAAGCACTCAGCTACTTGCTATATACCTTTGTACTTTTTCATTTTGATATGAGGTCTTGCTAAATTGTATAGGTAGGCCTTAACTTTGTAATCATCTGCTTTAGCCTCCCAGATATATGGGTGATAGGTAAAGACCACCATGCCTGGATACATATTTTTCATATATATATATATATATATATATATATATATATATATATATATCTCCATCCCATATAGTTGTGTACATAAGAATGGAATTGAATATCGCTATCCATTCTCTCTCTCCTTTTTTTAGAAGGAAACTACCACCTTGCCAATGTAAGTGGGTGCAGGTATAATAGATTTATGAATAGATTAATTTAGAGTAAAATATTTGAGCATATGTGTTAAAGTTAGGGCTAGAAGCATGTTTATTTGTTTAGCTATACATGTGAAGGAAGGAAATTTGTGCCAGGTAAGGCTGGAGCATCGGGGACCCATCTTTAGCGTGACCCATCACTACAGTGTGACCTAAGGTGCACACCACAGTCCTGCTCTACAGCAGTTCTCACTGCAGATATTAACTTTGGATGACTCAGTTCTAGCTCTAATAATTTGTATTCTACACATGAAATACATATTTTAAAAGCAAGCTGTTTCGTCTTGAGTGTTCAGGTGTTTGCAAGGAACCAATATGGAAGACATAAAACTGGCCAGGACTGTATAATCCTTCAAGTGAGGGAGGAATGTGTATTCAATGTGTTAGTCTTTTTGCTTTTTTCCATAATGTAAATTTTCAAAAGGTTTTCAAAAGTGCAAAGGAAAAACAGACTGCTGTGGCATAAAGTGTTAGGACAGAAAAGAGTGAAAATTTATTTTTAAACGCCATTTGTTTAATTAAAGAGTAATTCTTAGATAACATTCAAGTGGAAGTTTGCCTGTCTTTTTGTCTTTTTGTTACTTTAAAAGACAATTCTTTAGCTTGACATATTCAGCTCAATTTAAACAACCCTCAGTTATAATATATCTAACTGATGATTAAATATCTTACAAAATATAACAAATCTAGCACAATTAAATATATAAAATATCTAACAAAATTAACTAATTAAAACTTAATATAGTACTTTCAGTTATTACATAGTGCACTGAATTAATAAGTAGACATGAATGGCCTCGTGTGAGTCATTAAGAAGCAAGGGTACTGAGGAAATAGACACAGGAAACTGGAGCAGGGAAAATCTCACACTCTCATAATCTTGCAGAATAACCAGGATTTTTTGAGAGCTCTACTATTTCCCTTGAGAACATCTCCCTGGTGATGTTCTACTATATTCCTTATCTTATTGTTTCCCATGCCGCTCACCACCCCTCTGGCAACCAAGCCTCTCTCTCTCTCTCTCTCTCTCTCTCTCTCTCTCTCTCTCTCTCACACACACACACACACACACACACACACACACACAAATAAAGCTCTGCTGCAGATCATATCCCATCTATAGCAGAATTGCAATACGTATCTTCATCCTTTATGTACTTAGAGAACACTTCTAGCCGTGTCTGTGTAATTATATTAGGAAATATGACATTCCCCTTCCCTTACTTCCTTTTCTTTTACTCTTTCTCTTTATTTTGAGACATGGTCTCACTGTGTACCCCATGCTCTTCCTGGTCCAGAGCTCACTAGTTAGCCCCAAATGGCTTTGAAGTCATGGCTACAGTCTGCCTCAGACTCCTGGGTGCTGGGGTTATAGGTAGAGCAACCACACGCAGCTTCTTTCCAAAATTAACCAATCCTTTAAATGTTTTGCAGGTGGAAACCCTGCATGATTTTGAGGCAGCTAATTCTGATGAACTTAACCTGCAGAGGGGTGATGTGGTGCTCGTGGTCCCCTCAGACTCAGAAGCTGACCAGGTAATGTGTAAGACTGGAAGGTGTGTCAGGCCATATTGGTCTTTTGAGGGCCAGTTGGACAAGTGACTTCTTGCAGCATCCCTGTTTCTAAGATGCTGCGAACCCACTCTGAAAAGTCCCTAAGAATTTGCTCACTCGGCATTCCATCAGCTGGTTTTCAGGATCCCCCCCCCCTTTTTTTTTAATGAAGCCATTGACTGTTCCTTTCTGTACAATTAGATGAGATGGGCTTTTCTTGTCTCAAGATTTCTTGCTAGGGATGCTGTACTTGTAGCATCAGGTTTCAGGAAATGCTGAACATCCCTCTCAGAAATGGCTGCCTTGTATGGTGTGGTAACCCATGGAAACAGCCTGGGGAAACATTATAGAGAATCCGAACTGTTTCGGATCTCGATGAGGTGATGCCTATATAGGCTTTTTATACCTTATTGAACTTACAACTATGCCACTGTACAGCACAACATTTAAATTATACCTCAATTGATAAACATATCTCTGACCCAAATGATTGGGTCATAAGATACAGGAACTCCAAGGTTGTTCATAGTCACAATTTGGGGACTCCTGAAATGGTATGCAAAGCATGTATAAACAAGCCTGGGAGCATGTATTTTTACAGAGAAGACCTATGACTCCCATGCTAATTTAAAAAATTCTTTAAAGAAATGTATGTATGAGTCTTCTCCCTAAAATAAAGTTCAAAAATCAAAGCTTTTTAAGTTAACATTTATATGGCAACCTTTTGTTCTTTCTTTTGATAATAGATTTAGCAATATAAATCAGTGGGTATCTAAACACCTAGATTCTCTGCCTCTGTAAGAGTTAGAAATAAAAAAAATAAACCTCCAAATATTAGAAAAATTAAAAACTGATTTTTTTTCGGTTTTTTGAGACAGGGTTTCTCTGTAGTTTTGGAGCCTGTCTTGGAACTAGCTCTTGTAGACCAGGCTGGCCTGGAACTCACAGCGATCCACCTGTCTCTGCCTCCTGAGTGCTAGGATTAAAAGCATGCGCCAGCACCGCCCAGCTGGAAAACTGATTTCCAAAAATTAAATTTATCAAATAACATTTTAAGTGAGAAATATTTTATTCTCTGGCTGGAGAGATGGCTGAATAGTTAAGAGCATTGGTGTTTCTTCCAGAGAACTCAAACTTGATTCCTAGAACATATGGTGGCTCACAACTGTCTGTATCTCCAGTTTCTGGGAATCTAGCACCCTCTTCCAGGCTGTGCAGGCATTGTACACATATGGCACATAGGCATGCAAGCAGGCAAAGCACCCATAATCTAACAATAAATTATATATATATATATATGTGTGTGTGTGTGTGTGTGTGTGTGTGTGTGTAAAATGAAAATAAGAAAACGATAAAAAATAAGTTCACAAATAATGCAGCCAATAGCACTCAATAACCAGATGTAGTGGCCCATGCCTATATCTCAGTACTCAGGAGGCAGAGGCAGATAGGGAGGTTCACCAGTTAGAGACTATTCTAAGCTACATAGTAAAATCCATTCTCAGCACACACACACACACACACACACACACACACACACACACTTAGAAACAATAACCCAGAAAACAGAAAAGTACAAAACAAAGAAAACCTTACAATTAACCATCACTAATCTTAAATTATTTCCTTGAAAGGATTAATAAAATTGTTATCTAATTTTTATTAGGCTATTCATCAGAAAAACTGATAAACAGTGGAGGCAGAAGCAGCAACTTGAGGAGAAGAAACTCAAACAAGAGGGCCTTACTTGGGCTCATTGCTTAAGGGAATATAGTCCATCACTGGGAGCTGCAGTTCATCCTCGAGGGCAGGAAAGCGCTGACAGCAGGTGGCCACATGGTTAGGAAGGTGCATGTGGACCTCCTCACATATGGGCAGATGAAGAGCAAAGGAAGGGGCACAGCACTACGTAGCTGCATTTCTCAGTTTTCATTTTTACTGATTTCAATTGCAACCCATGGGGCAGTGCTTTGCACGTCTGGGACAGGTTTTCTCCCTTCAGTTAGCCCTCCCTCGGAGAGCACTCACAGAAAAGTCCTGAGGCATGTCTTATGAAGTGCACTAGGCATTTGTTCATTTAATCAAGCTGACAATGGAAAATAACCATAGCAAGCGTATCTGTTGTCAACTTGATAAACAAATACTTTATTCCAAAAGATAACATTGCACTTGTGACACCTTTACCTCATTATACAAAAATGCCTTTAGTTTGTCTCCAACATTCCCAAAGTCTTAACATTCTAACATTGTTCAAACGTCTAAGTTCAGTGTTTCAACTGAGACTTTGACAGTTTCTTGACAGTGAGGCCTGTAAGATCAAAAACAAAGAAAGGAAGGAAGACCACCATATTGCATACTTCCAGTATATAACAGCACAGTGTAAACATCCCCAGAAGGAAGGAATAGAAGATCAAAGAAATACTGGGCCACAGTCAGGCAGAATCCCAGCCGACTCAACACCAAATGCCCGGATGTGGCACCTGGGCCTGTGATATTCTCTTCTGTGTTCCACTAGCCTTGGCTGTTCCCACAAGCACTTTCTTCAATGCTGCGTCCTCACTCTTGACTATGTTTTACTAAGTGAATGAAACTTTTGTTGGCAGACAACACTGGCCTTTCCAATCTCTCAGGGGGTATTGCAACTTGGTCTTCACCTTCCAAGCTTTGTGCATTGCCCTCTTAGAGATCCATGTAGAAAATCTGACTCCACCACACACTGCTAGACTCAGCTGCTTCTTGGAATGTTGGCATGAACCTCCAGGACCCTGTAGAGTCTGTACAATGTATGTTTGAAGATAATGAATACCCTGCAGGAAAAGCAAGACTCTGCTGCCAGTGCAAGGTGTAGTCTGACTTCCTTAGGCCCCAGTCACAGTAGCTTCTCTTTCCCTTGAAGGCTGAACCTGGGGAACGACTGCAGTGTGTGGTACTACTCAACCAGGATGCCGTGGATGCGGTCTTCACCCAATTATTCTAGTTCAAATGAAAAATTTCAAATAAGTTTGCATTTTTTGCAATTCAGAGTCTTTGGTGGCTAGAGTTGTATGGCTTTCCTACTTTCTCAGTACAAAGTTCTGATTTTTACATTAATCATGCAAATATTTTTTAACAACTATAGTTCTTTGGCCCTTATCAGTTATTTTTATAACCATAACTGATTTAAGCTCTTTGCCTTAAACTACACATTTTCTATATCTCTCTGTTCTGTTAAACTGTAAATCTAAGTCAACGCATTAACCTTGGGTTTTACCAGACCGCAGCCTGGATGTTATGCTGTTCTGAAATGTCCTCTGCCAAACAGCTTAGCCCATTAATTTTCAATGTTTAGTTCAATGTCACTCATACTGCAGGACACAGGCAAAACATAGCCTTGTTCTTTGGCAGAATAAAACATGAGTGGTCTCTGGTAAGCAGAGTCCTTCCTCACTGCAACCTTGTGGGCACAGTCTCTTTTCACCTTCTGCATTCTGTCAGCATCCTAATTTCCCACAGTCCCATCAGAATAGTCCATTAGGCTGTTCATACAGCATTTGAGCTCTCTTCTTGCCCATGGGTCCCGAGCTATTCCACAAAACAGTTCCAAATGTCTACAAACCACATGACCAGGTAGCCACAGCCACAAGCCCACCCCACAGCACTAATCTCCTATATTATTTTCCTCATCTCTGTGACCAAGTATCAGACAACAAGCAACTTAAGGGAGGAATTGACTTATTTGGGGTCATGGCTTGAGGAGGTAACATTCGCTGCGGCAGAGAATGCACAGCAACAGGCATCTCCATTTTGGTGGGAATATGGAGCTGGGCTTTCTCAACCTCCTTGTATCCCATCAGAACAAGAAGCAGAATGAAATGAAGAGAATCCCATTGGTGATCCAGTTTCTCTCTCTCTCTCTCTCTCTCTCTCTCTCTCTCTCTCTCTTTTTTTACTCTGGGAGTCCAGTCCGTGGGATTGCTCCCCTCACAACGTGCTTACTCTCCATTAAGTCTTTTCTCTTTAGGAAAAACAGTTCTCATGAGCACAACAAATAATGTGTCATATTAATAACTTGAGCACTAATCCCATCAAGTTGACAATTGAAATTATCCATCACACAATAATATATATACATATATAATTATATATATTTAGTTATTTTTGCACTAACTGTAATTTATCTTCTTAAAGAAGCAAGAGTCTCAGTATATTTTCTATTTCTGTAAGTGTGAGTATCCTCATTTCTTCCTGGCTAGTTTCCTTTTCGTTAGCAGTTCTTGTAACGCTGACCTGATGACAGCAAATCCTTTTCACCTGTCTTCATTTCTATTCAGTTTAAAAGCTTTCTCACTAGGGAGAGAACTTGGAGCTGACCTTTTTTTTTTTGTCTCAGCTCTCCAACATGTTGCTTTGTGGTCTTCATTGTTAATAATTAGAACTCGGCTGTTGTTTGGTTAGTATGACTTATCTATAAACAGTGTAACAGAAAATTTTTTGGTATTCATGGTCAAACTGATGAGTTTGACTATCAGATGTGTGTGCGTGCACGTGTGTTTTCATACTTGGAATTCAGATTGCTTCTTTGACTCATGGCATTTTATTTTCTATTATATGGGAAACTATCAGGCACTATTTCTTTAATTTTCCCTACCCCCTTCTTTTTCTTCTCTATTTCTCAATTCCTAATTATAGTATGTTCAAGGCTGATACCTAAGAGTCTGTTCTCTTCTAGTCAGTCTACATTCCTCCATGGTAATCAGATTGGGGGCTCTATAAGAATATCTTTTGCTGCTCTGTGTTTGTGAAGTTTATGCAGTGACTATCCCAATTCCAGCATCACATTACATAGTTCTGTGATTTCTTCCTGGTCCTTTAATTTAGTTTCCATTTCCTTGTTGAGATTTCCCACATACTGTCTCAAAATCACTGTCTTCCAACTTAGATACTTAAACAAATTTATAATTTATTTGCATTTCTAACTGATAATTCAAAAATTGTATGCCACCAGAACATATATCTACCCATTGCCTTTATCTGTGGGGCATGTTTTTCTGATTTTGACCTTGTATCTGGTAACATTTTTATTGACATTAGACACATTAAGAGTATAGTGCATTCTAGAGAGCTGGGTTTTGTTTTCTATACCTGCAGGCTATTTTTTTTTGTTTCAGTAGTCACTTTAATTACTAACTTATTAACCTAAATTGTTGAAGAGAGTTTCGTATTTTCTTAGAGTGTGTAACGATAGGCTTTTTATAAATTCTTAGCCCTAAGACAATATTCCTACCTCTTAACCTAAGGTATTTTTAGGGTAGCTATCTATAGGAAGCTCTAGTGTAGTATTTTATCCGTTCTCATGACTTGGTAAGCATTATTTCTTGACTTATTTTTGTTGTAAACTTTATGTGTGCACATGTGACTGTGTGCGGATCTGTGCACATGAGGAAGGTGCTTAGGTAGGCTGGGTGTTAGATGCCCTACACTGGAGTTATAGGTGATTCTCAGCTATCCAATGTGGGTGCTAAGAACCAATTCAGGTGCTTGGAACTGAACTCTGGGGCATGCAAGTGTTCACACTCTTAACCACTGAGCCAACTCTCCAGCCTTACTCAGGATATTCTATAACCCTGCAGTATGCAGAAAGAGGCCAGTTCTTGGGGAGAGCTGTATTAGCCTGTCTTCACCCACAATGATTCCCTACGTCCAGGGGTTAAATGATTTCCATTCTCTGCTTGCTATTTGTCACTCTTGGTGCCGTCTGCTATTTCTGCATGATTTATACCCAATTCTCTCTATATAAGCCTCTTATATTTCATAATTATATTTTACAATAAGCATTTGGCTATGTATAGATTCATATAGGCACACACCATATGCATATGCACCTGAATGCTTACTCTATGCAAAAGCATTTATCCAATACAAGCCGTTCCACCATAGACAAAACTGGAAATTCTTCTTTACCATATATTTTCTGTAGTTAAAATTTAATTTTCCTCAGCTAAAGATTTATACTGCCTAATACCCTTTATGTTTACGGTTGTAGTTGTATTTCTGAATGATGTGTTAGAATACATCTTCATTACAGGTTTGTGGGTGTCGTTTATCTTTTTGTTCTCTAGTGAAACAATTTAAAAATGCCCAGCTCTATTTGGCCTCATTAGGTTCCCACTCAATGTAAATAAAATTCAATGTAGAAGTGTGGGAGGGGACCTGACCTTTCATACGCATACTGAGGCTTGGGAAATGCTTAGTTATCATCTCTTACGTTAGATATAACTTTATCCTTCACATATGTGGCATCATAATTTTGAAGAGGGCACCGTTCCTTATCAATGAGAGTATTAGCAGTCAGTTTATTGGGACATTTTTTTTCCTCTGTTATTTTTGTGGGTTTATTTTCTCTCTTCAAAAATTGGTCTGTCTAAGTGCTTATATTTCTCGTCTATCTGGAAGCATCATTTTATCGTCTCAGATGATATCAAAGGGAATATATCCAGTGGTCTATTTAATTTTTGAGACCTCTTTTTATCAGATGTTCTTGCACTTCGTGGAGGATGACTTCGGATTAAATCTGGCCATCCCTCATTGTAAGTGGGCTCTCTTTCCTGCCTTGGTTAACATAATAAAGATAGCCGCTTCCTACTCCTGTCCACATAGTACGTATCCTTCGCTGTCCCTTTTTCTCTGGAGGCCAAGGGCAGAGAGCAGCTTGCAATTCCCAGTTAGTGCAATTGTCTCTCCTTCTGTCACTGGACGTCTAAGCATGAATTCTGCAACTTTCCTATGGCCAGTTGTCTTTATTTGCATGATGGCACCGATCAGAGAAACAGAGTTCATTTAGAAAGAACGCGTGTCTCCAGCAAGTATACCACAACATCAAATTTCCCTGTAACTCCTGTGGATGTGAAACAACATCAGGCAGCAGCAGCAGCACTGGTACAGCATCCAATAGCTATGAGTCCTGTATATGAGGCTTTGTTGGGGCTACGTGGTATGAGCCATGGGACAATTCTTTCCTGTAAGAAAGTGGCTCAGGATGCAACACCAGACATTTGGTGGCTGCGTCAGCATTATATTCTAACCTAACAACTTTAAAATGTTTGACCCTGCTTGGCACCAAGGGTTGCTTCCTCAATCCTCGTCCACTGTGAAGCACAAGACAATTGGTTGTGTTCCTTGAATACCATGTTTTCATATGAAATCCCTTTTCCTTAACAACTTCTAACTCAGTGAACGTTAGCCAAGTATCCCCTATAAGAAATTAGAATGTTAAAATTAACCTTAATTTAACTATGCACAATAATATATAACAAATTATTTTTTCATTATTTTTATCGACTTCTAGATTCTACAATGTTTTATGGAAGTGTTGCGTCCTGAGGTGGCAGTACAAGCTGAATGGGCTATTATGAAAGTTCTTGGCACTGTGACTATGCCCCGGAATTTTCTGTGCTCTGAAACCCTGTTCTTGTCTTGCAGGATGCAGGCTGGTTGGTGGGGGTGAAGGAGTCAGACTGGCTTCAATACAGAGACCTGGCCACTTACAAAGGCCTCTTTCCAGAGAACTTCACCCGGCGTCTGGAGTAGGGCTGCAGATGTTTCAAGAGTCACATGACTAGGTTGTTAAACCTTCATGAAATGCGGAGGAGTTCACTCTTGCTACTACCCTCATAGAGATTGACAGTCTGGTGCCAGATGAGGCTTGGGAAGACAGATCCATAGAGCATGTATGCAAAAACCTTAAGAAGAGGGGAAAATAGCAAACTAAGGAACAAGTTCTTACTTTGTTCCCTGTGTTCAATAGAGGTCTGTGTGTGCTTCGTCTAACTGTGGACACTGGTAACTTGATTCCCTTCCTCCAAGTCTAAAGTAGCTTTTTCCAGACCAGACTCCGACTTCTTTGCATCAAGTGTGTGATGTCGAGTGGCTGCCCTGCAGATGTAATGAGTTATCCTGTAGTGAGACACCATCGTACTCCCTTGCCCAGTGTGAGCACAGGCTCTCTTTCCCTTTCAAGTTTACTGCGTTTAAAACTCAACAGGCTGCAAACGTTCTCCACAGTCTTTTCCGATCACCTCTATATACATACGTATGGACAGACAGTCCCACAAGCTAATTCCCATGCCTGCTGGACCTATGTGTATGCAGATGGCTACATATGCATAGCTGATTCCTTCCCCTCCCACCGTAGCACTTCTCCTCTAAGTGTCATTGATACGTGCATTGCTCTTATTCCGTCTGGCATTACAGCTGCGGTTTTGCCTCAGGGCAAAACCACTCATCCCATTGCCAAAACAGTTGACAGTGTCTGTGTGTGTGCCGTTTTCAGGGTGATATGCCAGATAGCATGCCCATGCTGCTGCCCCCTTTGGAGAGAGCAGGGTGTGGTGGTGTAGCTGCTCAGCTGCTGGGGCCTGATAAAAATCAGATCTGGGCCAGCAACGACGCAGTCTTCACTTCTGCCTTTATGCAATTGGATGGATGAAGGGGCAAAAGAACCTATTTACAAAAGCTCCTATATAACTTCCACGTTATCTTTATGCAACTCATCTTCACAGAGCATTCTCAAGTGAAAGAGGTGATATGTGCTGTATCACAAACCATCTGTAACCGTTTTGTTTCTCAGTGCTGTGTCATTCCAAATAAACCTTTGGCAATCTCCAAGTTACACTGATTCTTTTTCATGAGTGTTTTTTCCCCCTTTTTGAAATCTTGTTCCAGTTGGACATGCTACTTGAAACAGTTTAGACTGGAGTTGTTATTTGTGCAGACGTGCGCTTGTTCCACCTCTGGGTTGTGCTCCATGGCCCTGCCTTACTTCACCATCTCTCCATCGCAGTCATTGCTGGTCACTCGGTGCATCCTGGGAACCGGCAATTACTAGAGCGCAAATAACAGCTGTGGGGAGGCCGCCCTTGTGTTGCTGGCTGTGGACACTCGGTCTGTGACTCACTGACAACCGTATGGCTCATAATCAGCCTCACAACAGCTTCATTTTTGCTCACTTTTCTTTCTGGCATTTTTATGTGTGTAAGTACATAAAAAAGTAGATCGAATGGAATAGAAAAGTCAATTCATGGAGCCATTGTAGCTGGAAGAGAATTCATCATACAAGCATGTTCCATTTTGAGAAATTTCTACTAATAGAGCTCTGTATACAGCACACACTGATCAAGAATATGCATGAATGTATTTCTTTTTTATGCTTCCAATTCTCCTGATAGATTACTGGGTTTTATGTTCTTTTAAGTGTTAACAGGGAAATTTCTATTGACCCATTATTTTCCCAAGAGTTGACTTAGTCATTTTGAATGTTAGACTAGTGCAAGAAAATAAAACGTAAAATGCCATTGTCCAGCAGCTTGCCAGGGAATTAGTCAAGCCAAGTGCAGCAAGGTGAGCCCTATGGAGGAAATTACCCCGCCATGAGAGACTCTGGGGTGCTGAAAAGTGACTGAGCAAACAGGGGCTTGATTTCTTTGCTTTAGTTTTGTTATTGTTTGTTGTGCTTGGTATTAAACTCTGACCCTTGCAAATGCTAGGCAATTTATCTGCATCTCCAGCCCTCCAAATGGTTTTAATAAATAACAAGCAAAGCCAGTTGTCACATCCCTTGGAGGAGCAGTTACTCTGAAATTCCACTGTGGTCCTCCCCTAGTGGCTGACATGGAACAAAACATGCCAGGACGTGGCTGAGATAAATTTTGCCCTAAACTTCCTGGATGAATGTACCTAGGTGAGCCTACTAAGTTTATCCAAAACAATGTGCTTTAAATTGTTTAATCCATATTTAAATAATATTTTGGTTTTGAAATATTAAATACAAGTAATCAGATTGTTCCAGAAACTGCAAGATCCAAGATTTCCTAACATCCTGAGAAGGGATGAGAGGGAAATAGCGCACTAGTCCCGTGCTACAGAACCCACTCTTACATACAGTGGACATTGTTTCTAGTGGGCTTGCTAATGGGGTGGGAGTGGCTTCAGAAACTTCCATGCCTACCACTGCGATGAACCCGTCCCATGTATGTCATTAGGTTGTATATCGGTGAATTTGTATGTATATCTTATCCCACATGGCCTGGATCCAAGAAGCTGTGTCTGAGCCACTTAATTTTTTACCCCCTTGTTCAAAACCAATGGCATACAGATTTTCAAATCTTTAAGAATCGAAGAAAGCCTGTGGTTATCAAGAAGTGGACACTGGCCTGGCCCCATGCTAGAACTTCACTCCATTACCTTACGTGGTATGGATAGCTACAGCATCCTTTGCTGTGTTAAACATTCAATGACATCTCAGGGTGGACTGTCTCCCTGAACAGGAAAAGTTCCCTGCTCTATGCTGCTGTAGCACCATCAAGACTCTTTTTGTCAATGCTAGGGAAGCTTTCGAGTCAACAAGAAAACTATGATGATGACCTCTATTGGGTAGACTGTGAAGACTCATTGCACTGAATGCTCTTTGAAAACACATAGAAGCCGTGGATTGGGTCATTAGTAAAATCTCATAATTCCACATCCGATTCTGATGACTCCTTAAAGAAAACTCCTTAAAGAAAACTCCAAACCTATAAGAAATGAATTTGATAACGACTAAGACTCAGCCTTCTATTCTACACAGACTACATGACTGAGCATCTTGAAGCTTTAGAGAAACACCAATCATCAGAGTGACCATCCCTAGGACTTTACTAGTGTTTTTTTGAGAAGATCAACTAAATTCTGCTTTCTAATTTACTTAGAGCTGAGAAAAAATCTTTATAAACACTGTGGGCCAGGCCTTGATGGAAGGCACATCAGGTTGGGTCTCCTGTGGTTGTCTGTCGTAGTGTAGCTTCCCAAAATGTTACCTCTTATTGGTCCTCAAGTATATAGACAATTCATAGCTTCATGAAAAAGACATTGACAGTCTCTTGACAAAGACAGCTGAGAGCCATGAAGTTCCATTCTTTTTCCAGACTCAGCATTGATTTGAGATTTTCTTAACCTTCAACATTAGGCTGAGATTGATCAGGCTGAGAGCAACTCTCTGTATCCTAGCACACAGCACGGGACTGAGCAAGCTCAAAAGCCCCAAACATTCAAATGCATGAGAAGATGAGTAGTCTACCCAAACATTTACAGCCATTGGTTAGACTTTTACAAGATCACTTAATGACTTTTACGGTTTAAAAAATAATTGTGACACAACTCTTAAATCTATGCAAACAGAGAGAAGGACCCTAAAGCTTTTTTCAAAGGAAATGTAAACTTTGTATTGGTTTCCTAAAATCTGAATTGCCCCAGACCCATACAATCTCAGGTCAAACACTCAGGTGTCGATGCTTGAAGATCAAGTGGAGCTGTAAGCTTATATTTGCCTCCCTGCAGCACCTATGGGTGTGTCTGTATTTAGCTCTTGAGAAAGCCATCCTTGTCCGTCATGAAGTTATAGAAGTTCAGTTGAGTGTGGGAGCACCTTGTTTGTAAGTACTTTGCCATACGGATGGCACCCGTGTACCCTCTCCCCATCAATAAACACTATAGACTTTCACGTTGCTGTATCTTCCCCATTTCTGACCACCATGTGGTTTCTGTGGCATCTGATACCATCAAACGTTTCCACACTCTCTCTAAGATTCCGGTGTACAAATTCCACTTGTCCTACCTCTCTGATTTCTCCTTCTGGTTTTCTGTGCTTGTTTCCCTTCTTTCTGAGGGGGTTGGGAGTGGGGCCCTAAGTAGGGAGATGACAATAACCTTCAGTTTGTATCCCTGCTGTCTCAGGACTGATCCTCGAGAAGGCCTTCTTCTTGCTTCTAACTCCACATATTTTCATGATCATTAAACAGTTGTCAAGCTCCTTCCTAACCTGAGTTGTTAGCTATAACCCTCCATGACGTCATGCCATCCTGTACTTTACTGTCTATTACCTGGTCCTGGAGGCATGCATGTCCCCACAGCCAGAGGTGATTTGGCACCCCCTGCCTTCCCAGTTTTTTCCCTCTCCTCAATACATTTTATAAGCACAACTCTAATCCCAGTGTATTAACAGTTCCCCCCTTAACATTGTTTCTCCTACCCATATGACAGCGAGGAGTATCTTCTGGATACTGTGTATCATTGGTATCCAAGTGGGCCTTCAAAAGACGCCCCATCTTCACCAGTATTTCCCCTCTGCTTCCCTCCTATGAGTCTTCTCACTGCCCTACCCTGTACCCCTAAACCAGCACATGCTATTCCTCTGCAAGCCCTTCTGGAATGTCCCCTTCTCTACTTGCCCAAACTTCTCCCTGCCACCCCAGAACACAGCCTATGTCTCACTCTCCTCCTGCTCAATCCTGTGCTTTCTCCCACTCAGATTTCTCCGTGTGTGCTGAGTGTGCATGAGTGCCTTCAGCCCTTGGTTTCCTATGCTGTTTACCCCAGCTTCAAATTCTCCATCCACCCAGGCATTCATATGTAAGTGTGCTGTGTGGATAAACAAGAGGCTTAGCACCAATCAATTTGTTCAGAAAACTACAGAAGCCTCCCAAGAGCAGCATTACAGGATGTCTGAAATTAAATATAAAAGAAATAGAAAAAGTGATCCTGTCACACTGGAGGGCAATATTAAATAAAACTCCAAAGCCTACCAAGTGCGTGGCCAAAAATAAATGAAAAGGTTTGACTAGAAAGCTTCGTTTAATGAATAGATACAGATGGCAAGCAGTTTAATATACTTGTTACATCTGACACTCACAAAGGCTTAACAGGTAACACACAAAACTACTCATCCGAGAAGGGGTTTCAAAAATTACCCTTACAATAATTTATATCTAATTTATATCTATATCCACTGGCTTCTTGATTCTATTTGTTTGTGTGTGTATTTTTGATCCACTGACGTGAGTAGTGACTTACATATAGTTTTGCCAGGCTCTCTTAAGTGTTCTGTTTGAAATCACTTGATCTTCACAAAACTATGATGTAATCACTAATATTCTATTACAAACAAAGAAAAAGAGCAAGGTCACATAGTGATTTGCAGTACCAGTATATGTGAAACCTCAGAACCCTGCCTCCATCTCTAACCCTGTGCTAGGGCACTTCCTCTTTGCTAAGTGTAAAGGACATGAATAGCCAGGATTTTGAAGGAGGCTGGACAGAATACATGCCGGTTTCCTAATGATCGGTTTAGCATCTGGTAACTGATGAGATCTTGCTCAGTATGTACTGGAAAAAATTAAAAATTTCTACCACCACCCACTGGCAGTACTCTTTGAAAGTGTGTGTGTGTGTGTGTGTGTGTGTGTGTGTGTGTGTGTGTGTGCGCACGCGCACATGTGTGTGTGTCCCCTGACCAAGCGCCCTAGGACTGATTTTGGAGAAAGGAGGCCCACGAAGGTTACAGCACAGCATGGGCAGTGACAGCAAAGCCCCTAACCCTGGGAAGCTACGTGAATGCCAACTGTGGAGCAAGGGAATCAGACGGGAGCTCCAAACCAGGAGTGCAACTCAGGAGGGAAGAGCATTTGGCTCAAGCAGGTAAAACACATTATTCACAAAGTGCTACTAGGCCATTCACACGGATTAACAGAGGCTCCAAGGACATGCAGCAAATGTATTGGATTGAGAGCACAGGGAGAGATAGGGATGGAGAGAAAACAAGTGGACCAGTTGCCATGATGCTGGCATGGATTAGGAATGAGAGCGTGACACCATATGTAAGAATATAAGAAAAACAGGGCATCTAAATTCTAAAACAGCACCAGCAACTCCACAAGATATGTCACTAATTCCTGGATAACACACCCAAAAACCCATATGTGAACATTTTCATTGTTTTTCAGTAATGGGAATTGAACTCAGTACTGCTAGGCAGGTACCCTACCACTGAGATACATCCCAGTCACATTTTAAATTACCTTTATTTTGAGAGAATCTTGAGTTGCCCCTGATAGGCTTAAACTTGGTGTAGAGGCCAGGCAGGCCTAGGACTTACCACTCTCATGCCTCAGCCTCCCAAATAGCTGGGCCTACAGGTTTGCCCCACCATGCCTGGTCATCAGCCTTGAGACTTAGATAACCCATAATCCTCAGCCACAGAGAGTGGTTTCAGCGCATAAATTAAAACCAGGGTAAAGTGAATTGTTTATTGTCTTCTGTGGTTGTAGAAAATGTGAGTTTCCTCCCTTTTCTCTGGGGAAATCTGCCGTCTATTAGCTGCCAGGGTCATTTAAGTGCCTCTGGCCACTGTCACTCACCTTGGAGGTCTGTCACACCTCCTTTTTTCTGAGATGATTGAAGCAACCTAGGGTGAGGACAGTGAAGGACTGGATTTGGGAACTGATCAGTCTTTAGTAGCTCATTCAGATGAACATGAACGAGAAGATAGGAGCTTGTTTTTAGCATCCAAATCCTAGCCGGCCATCACGCCCTCCAGTTACAGGTTGCAGCGAGTCACAGTTGACAGGCTTGCTGGTTCTTAGAATTCAATCATTAAAATATTTAAAGATATTTTTAAAAGGTTGAATCCTACTGAGATGATGCCAACAGATGGCCCCGTCTGAATATTCCAAGCCAGTCCCACCAATTCACTGAGGGCTCTTCCTTTTCAGTTTCTCCACAGGCTAGAACCAAATGCTAGCAAGATTCAGCACAACTCAGCTTCTCCTGTGTGCTCTCTGTTGTCTACATGTGTAGTGTGTGGGTCCGAGTGTGTGTGCACAAGCCTGGGAGTTACCTCTTCCTGTGGGTTTCAGGTGTCTACGTGTGCGGTGTGTGGTGCCAAGTGTGTGTACACAAGCCTGTGAGTTACCTCTTCCTGTGTGCGTCAGTTGTCTACGTGTGTGGTGTGTGGCGCCAAGTGTTTGTGCACAAGCCCGTGAGTTACCTCTGCAAAGTTCTGGTTTCCCATGCTTCCCCAAGGAGAATCTGAGCATTGACAACCTGTCAGCCTAAAACAAGTCTGCTGGGGTTTTGACCTGGTTAGATGGCTAAACCACCAGACACTCAGACATTATGTACCCTATGTGGTTTTCTTGTTTTAATTTTGTAATTGTATTACATACATTTATATGTCCTGCCCAAAGCCAAAGTTCTTAGACTTTTCTCAAGCCAAGGACTCATCACCTTTTTGTCCTCATGTTTCTTCATGACGGCGGGGCCGGGGCCACCTTTGTCACCTTGGCCTTCTTCCCTTTGGATATTGTGCTCAGCTGGAGGAAAGAGAAAGCCCAAGAGGTTTTCTCCGACTCAGTGTCTAGTAAAGAGGATAAAAGCAACGTACGTGGTTGTTGAATCAAAATTAAAATGATAAGCTCTTTCCTGTTGCGTCTTAATCATATCTGCTAATTCAGTGAACGGACCAACTATTCAAGCCAGAGTCACAATACATGATGCTGGAAGAGAAACCCATAAGCCACTTCTCCCAGTTTTGAAGTTCAGAAAGCAGAGACCACGCAAAGGAGGTTGTCTTAACTAAGCCCCAGGTGTGCCCTACCAGAGCTGAGAATGCTCTTAGCTTGCCCTTTACTGAAACCTCAGTAGAGAAACTCAGTGTGATGCTATTCCTACTATGGCCGGGAGAGGGCGCCAGAAATTAGTGTAAATAAATCCATCAAACCCTTTTAAGCAGCAGGAAGCACACACATTTGACAACTTAAAAGTAGATCATCATCTTGCTTTCTCATTTTGAAAATGCAGCAAAGGTAATTCTGAATCATAAACATCTAACTAGTTTCCGGAGAAAGCAGGCACAGTAGATAGAGTGGCTCCTTCAAATTCTTACTCATTTTTAACTTTTTGTTTTGTTTTGGGGTGTATGTTATATGTATGTGTGTGGGGGTGTGTATGTGAATGTATGTGTGAATGTGTGTGTGATGTGTTATGTGTGTGTGTGTGTGTGTATTTGTGCATACTTATGTGGGGGGGGTACGTATGTGAAATGTTTTTATGTGTGTGTGTTTGTGTGTGTGCATGTAGACACATATATGCCACAGTGTATAAAGAGTCAGCTATCTTGGGTGTTGATTTTTCCACTTTGCTAGAAACAAAATTCCTTTGCCGTTCACCTCTGCATATGCCAAGCTGGCTCACCTCTGAGTGTCTGGAGAGTCTACCTCCGCCTCCATCTTGCTGTGCTAGCACTGGGGTTACAGATGGAATATGTGTTCCACCTGGTGCCACCGGGGGTGGGAGTGGGGGTGGGCTGGGATTCAAACTCAGGTCCTCACACGTGTAAGGCAAGCGCTTTAGTAGCGATCGCTCCATCTCCCCTCTCAGTTTCTTTATGTGCTCCTGGAGAGCTGCCTGACATCAGGGAGCTGGCTCCTGGAACTCTCTGTGCCTGAGCTTTATCAGGAGAACCGCAACAGGTACCACCAGCTTTACTCTTGCTGGGAATGGGGAAATATGTCCTAAAGAGTGTTGTTATCACTTAATGGATCAAGAGTTAGTTCTTCAAAGAGTGCCATTAATTATTGAAATGTTGGGGGAAATGTCTACCGCTTTTTTGGGCCCCCATAATTGTCTACATGATTTGAGGAGACCTTGTGTTCTTTACTGACATTTTTTTTTTAGTTTTTGAAAATGTCTTTCCATCACTCCCTCACACTGTCTAGTTTAGGACAGAAGTTCTGTCTGTACCAAATTCTTTATATGTTAAATGGCAGTGGCTTCTGCTTGGGAACTTGCTACGCTTGTATTTAGTCCAAGCCTCCTTGTGTCTTAAATGACCTTGGGCAGGTAAAGCTTCTTAAATTCCAATTTTCCTACCTGTCAAATGCAGTTTTTATCTCTCTTGAATGATTGTTATAAGGATTGAAAGGTTATAAAATTTTAAATGGTCCCTAAAACTAACCTATTTACTTCAGCACCAGTAAGTTGACACGGTTCCCAGGACATCATGTGCCGAGGGGAGGAGTTATGACTGCCCGCAATGGGGACTTTCCCAAGGACACACTCTTCTTAGTGGCAGCACTTGGACTCAACTGGTCACTTTGCCTTTTCAAACCAATCCTGTCCAATGAGATTTAGATTCTCAGTCAAGCTCTCTAAAACGTCCTTCCAAAAGTCCCATTCTGAGACGTCCCTGGCCCCAGGGCACCGTGTGCGGATCACACACTTGGCTGCCCTTTTCCAGTGAGCCCCACAGCCTGACTGCCTCGCAGCCATGTAGCCTGAGGCAGTGTTTGATCAGAGCTATTGGCTCCCTGACGTCCTTGTGCACGTCTAGACACAGTGACCGGGAAGTGGAGCTTTGGCTAAAGCACTCAGCTTCCCTGGGCGCGGTGTCTGGTCTAGACTGCCCACCCTTGCAGGAGATGCTACTGCAGCCCGAGAACCAGCAGGCACTGAGAGCTGCACGAGCAAGCAGACGTGAGCTAGGATCCCTCTGTCTGCCTCCTCTCCTGTCTCTTCCACTCTCAACTCCTGATTCAGTCTCCTAGGCCAGTAATGGTTTGTTAGTCACTGCTCCTGCCCAGGACTCAGCCCAGGCCGGCAATATGACTGTTAGTGACCGTTTTTCAAATCTTCTGTGGAGATGACACACAATTTAACTTCATTGATCCCTTATCTCTTGAAAGCTATATTATATGATGACTCCCCCTGTACATACATACTTAATGTCTGTGATGTTTCAGACGTTGTAATGAGTGCTCTTAGTCACTACAGACATTAATGATCTACCTCACTGTGCCCAAAATATAATGCAGGGAGATCACACACCTATTTACAGGCCATGAAACCATGGGAAATGCTATAATTATAATAATTCCTGGTAAATAAACTAATTTCTATTTCATTGCTAGGTAGAGTCTCATAGGGGCTGAAACAGAAATAGAAGATTAATGTGTTTACTAGAATCTGCTCCTCAAGACAGTGTTTATTTTTACACTTCTATCACGCTAGTGATTCAGCTCTGCTGAAATGTGACCTGTACAATTACGAGGAAAAGCAGAAGTGTATCTAGTTAGCAAATTTGGACCTATCGGGAGGAACTGGCCAGACTCACAGTCTCCAGTTCACAGGCAAGAGGGGAAAGAGAGGGGAGAAAAGTTAACAAAGAGAAAGAGGACAGTTCGGGGGGCACAAGTGAGAACGGAAACAGCAGTGCAAAGAGACTGGAAGAGGCACAGGGGACTGAAAGACAGGAGAGACCAATGGAGACTGTGACATATGTGGAGAAACTATAATGTAGAGGGACACCACGACAGTAAGACTGAGAGGTTAAAAGAGAGCTTGAT